AAATAAAGGTCCATCAACAAATAAAAAAACTTTAAAAATATTTTTAAAAATTGGGTCCCTAATAATGAAGTCTGCCTGGGGATTAATTAATGTTTAGCAATTCTGAGGAGTGATTAGGCTTATCTGAAAGCAATCACTAAAATAAGGCACTTGGACTACCTGTGGTTGTATTTGACAAAACTTTTGTGTTGGCCATGAAGCAGTGACTTAGTACATAAAATGCTGACATGTTATTCATAGAAGGCTATATTAATATTTACAAATAAAATTAAAATATAAGAATTTATGTCTGCATTATCAAAAGCCAACAACATCAAAACAAATTTCTTTCCTCAGTAGTTCAAGGCCTATGTTTTCTATATTTTGTGGTAAACCAAAATGTTTTTCATTGTTTTAACTACAGTCTCTAAATCAGTCTTTTTCAATCTTTATCTTTAACTCCATAGAACTCTAAGATAATGTAAGATTAATCAAAACACTACTCACTTAGCTTAAGAGAGAGAGAGAGAGAAACACTTGTGAGCCATTCGGGCCCCCTCAGGGTAGAAGAATGGAGGAAAAGGAACAAGTAACTATTGTTATGTTGCAACTTCAAAAGACTTTGGAAATCAAAGGTGAATAATTGTTAACAACTTCCGTATGACTATTCCGGCTTCCTCTTAATAAACTTCTGTACTCCTTTCTAACCCCTTACTTGGGACCATTGACCATAACTGATATTCGTCCTCCCTACTCAAAAAGAACCCACCAGACCAAGCAGACCACACGATGCCTCGACTCCACCAACAAAGAGGCTACTCGGCGCGCCTTTACAGCACAGGTGGGACCTCTTCCCCAGCCTTGCGCACTGCTTGACCCCTGCGCCAAGGCTTGGATCAGGTCACCCGACGCCCCAGCCCCGCCTCTAGTCACCCCTGCCCTGGGCCACCCTCGCGCCTCCATCTGGCCCTGACCCTTGGGTCCCTGCGCAGCTCCCGAATCCCGGGAAACCAGAGGGCGGCTGGCGGCGTCGCGGCTCCAAGAGGGACCGCGGCTACACCCCCGACGCCACAGCAGGCAGACACCGCGGGGCATCCCTGTGGCTCCAGAACGAGCTGGGCCGAGGAGGCTGCTCGGGACAGGCAGCTAGCCAGCCTCGCGACCGCGCTGGGGGCGGGGACGCYGTTACCTGCCGTGGGCTCGGCCGCTCCCCGCCGGCGCCGCTCTCCTGGCAACCGCGACAGCCACACGAAGGCCCAGAGCTGAAGGGCCTAGTGACAGCTCCCAGTGTGCACTGCGCGCGCCCACGCCGGCGTCGACGTTGACGGCCCTGGATCCCGCCCCCATCACTCCGTGCCAGCTGACGCTAGTTGGTGCTACAGCGCCCTCCAGTGTATATTAATGAGAAGCGGTCACGGGGAGTAGACCAGGAACGGGGTTTAGCAGGCATTTTTCACTCGCCTGGAAAAGTCCCAATTTGATGGAGAATTTGAAGGGCTTATAGGAATCGAAAACAGATTTTAATTATTATTTAAATAATTATTTAAGTAGATGTACAATTTTTGTTCTTTAACAATTTAAAGAGTTATGAATATTTTTTTTTTATGAATAACTTAAGGTCCCAAGACGGCCAGTGTGAAGTTAGGAGACAAATATTGATGTCATTGGGTACTGAGTATAAAGCCCTTTCGATCATGTCAAATTACGTCAAGGTGGATTTCACCGTTTTGCCCACACTATAGGGGAGAGAACAAAAGAAAGTTTTTACAAATGTGTGACTCTTTAAATAAAATATAACGATCTCTTTTTAAATTTTCATTTGTTATATATGAAAGCAAATTGCATTATAACTCGTATTACACATACAGAGCAAAATTTTTCATATTTCTCGTTGTACATATGTGGCACCATTCGTGTCTTCATACATGTTTTAGTGTAATGATGTCTATCTCATTCCACCATCTTTCCTACCCCCATGCCCCTTCCCTATCCCTCCCCTTCCTTTGCCCTATCTTTAGTTCATCTAATCTTCCCATGCCCTCCCCACCCTTAAATCAGAGAAAACATTGGGCATTTGGTTTTTGGGGATTGGCAAACTTCACTTAGCATTATATTCTCCAATTCCATCCATTTACCTGCAAATACCATGATTTTATTCTCTTTTAATGCTGAATAATATTGCATTGTGTACATATACCACAGTTTCTTTATCCATTCATATATTGAAGGGCCTCTAGGTTGGTTCCATAGTTTAGCTATTGTGAATTGTGCTGCTATAAACATTGATGTGKCCGTGTCCCTATAGTATGCTGCTTTTAAATCCTTTGGGTATAGACCAAGGAGTAGGATAGCTGGGTCAGCTGGTGGTTTTGTTACCCCTGTTGACTGGTGAAGACTCCTTGCTTCCCCAATATTGAAGAATAACACCAGAGAAGCACACTGAGGCAAGGTCAGAGTGGAAACTAGAAGTTTATTAAAGGACAGCAGAAAAGACTTCTCCCGGAGGAAGAAGGGGACCCAGAGATGGAATCCGTGGAAGTGCGGTTGTTTCCCCTTTTTATAGTTCTTTCAGTGATGGAATGTAGGTGGGAAGGTCCGAGGGTGGGGCCCAGGTGAGCCAAAGAAGTAATCTGGTCAGGAAGGACTTCTGAGTCAGCATCTTCAAGTTTGCTGGGGGCTGTTYATTAACACTTCTTTGGGATGGGCTCTGGGCCTTGGACTTTTCCTGGACTTCATTAACATTCCAAGAGTTGTTCAACTTTTTCCCAGAATTCATTCTAAACATGGCCTCTATTTTGGATCTTACTCGATATTAGACCCGATTTACCTAACTACACTGACTACCTAACTTTAAATCTGGCTTCAGTTTCATTCCCAGTTTTCCAAGGGATCTCCATACTGTTTTCCATATTGGCTGCACCAATTTGCATTCCCACCAATAATGTATGAATGTGCCTTTCCCCCCACATCTTCGCCAACACTTATTGTTGTTTGTATTATTAATAGCTGCCATTCTGACTGGAGTGAGATGAAATCTTAGAGTAATTTTGATTTGCATTTCTCTAACTTGCTAGAGATGTTGAACATTTTTTCATATATTTGTTGATCGAGTGTATATCTTCTTTTGAAAAGTGTTCAGTTCCTTGGCCCATTTATTGATTGGGTTATTTGTGGGTTTGGTGTTAAGATTTATGTGTTCTTTATATATCTAGAGATTAGTGCTCTATCTCATGTGCATATGTTAAAAATTTGTTCCTGGCACTGGAGTTATGGCTCAGCGGTAGAGCGCTCCCCTAGCATGGGTGAGGCCCTGGGTTTGATCCTCAACACCACATAAAAATAAAATAAAGGTATTGTATCCAACTATAACTAAAACAAAATATTTAAAAACAAATTTGTTCCCAAATTGTAGTCTATTCACCTCACTGATTGTTTCTTTGGCTGGGAAGAAGCTTTCTAGTTTGAGTCCATCCCATTTATTGATTCTTGATATTTTTTTTTGAATTTTTTTTTTAATATTTATTTTTTAGTTCTCGGCGGACACAACATCTTTGTTGGTATGTGGCGCTGAGGATCGAACCGGGCCGCACGCATGCCAGGGGAGCGCGCTACCGCTTGAGCCACATCCCCAGCCCGATTCTTGATATTAATTCTTGTGCTGTAGGAGTCTTATTAAGGAAGTCAGGGCCTAATCTCACATGATGGACATTTGGGCCTAGTTTTCTTCTATCAGACCCAGAGTCTCTGGTTTAATTCCTAGTCTTGATCCACTTTGAGTTGAGTTTTGTGAATGGTGAGAGATAGGGGTTTAATTTCATTTTATTGCATATGGATATCCAATTTTCCCAGCACTATTTGTTGAATATAACACTCTTTTAAGCTAATAAAACATTAATTGTTAAGAACATGCTGTTCTAAAAAATATGCTGTTTTAAGAATGTTATCTATTTTGATATGTCAGTATTTATGACAGCCTTGGGGGTTAATGATGGAATAGTATATCAAGTGATCATCATCCATTAAATAGACGAAATAGTTGAAAACGAATAGAAAAGTTTATTTTTTTTACTAAATTTTACCAAGTTAATTTATTTTTACCAAGTTCCATGCATGATTTCAAATTATTCTGACGGAACAAGAATTTGTGCAGCAAATACCATAAAGTTTAAAACTCCAAAAACTGATTTTAGAAAAATTATCTTAATCCAGTATCTTTATAGATTTTAAGGATTTTTTTAAACTGATATGCTTCAAGTTTGGTGTGTAGTAATTATGACTTTGAAATGATAAAATGAAGCATCAATAAACAGAATTTTTTATACAAACCATCATTTTTTTCTTTTAAAATAAGTGTTCTTTGTTTTTAAAGAAGTCCTTTTGAAATTCTACTGTGATCTTATATTTTTACATTTCTGCATTATAAGTATGTATATTATAGTAGATCCTTTAGTAAACTTTCAAAAATTATCTTGTAACGAAATTCTGATTTATCTGAGGTAGTCTTTACTTTGTAAAATAGTAGAAATGTGTTATCTGGAATTATTCCAAGTTATATGAATGATTGATCCTTTAATTTAAAATACTAGACTTGAATCACACTCTTTTATATAGGTAGCAGAAAACTTCCTTACATTTTGAAACTATTTCAATCTTGAAGCTATCCTGTTTAAACTGAGAAGCAATGCCAAGTTGATCTTTCACATTTTTGTTGTCTCAGAGGCTAACAAAAGACCCTATTTCTGATTGTCCCCTCCTAGGGACAGAGTCCACCTGATCACTTCCGTCCATTATCTCATGCCTAAGCAAACTAGCTAGAGTGTGCCCCACGACCGTCGATTTTTATAATCCTTTTACAGGGAGGCTAACCCGGTAGGTGGTGCTTTTAGGAAGTGTAACCTGGCTCTGGCCATCAGTTTTCTCAGCGGGTTTTGAGAATGTGCTCCGGGGGTGGGGCCGCGACCTTAAGGMGGCGCACTCTCCGCCCGGCAGGCGGCGCTGTGGGCTGACAGAGGGCGCCAGCCGAGCGATCTGGTGCTGCAGCTGCCACTGTGGTCGCCTCCTCTATTTCAGCTGCACGTGCAACTGCTCCTGTCCCTGGTGGCCCGGGTTCGTGAGAACCTCCGTCTCAATCCAGGGCGGACCGGGTGCTGGCGATGGAAGCCAGTGCGGTGGAGACGCGTGTGTTCGTGGAGGTGCGCAGACGGCTGCAGAGCGCGCTGCTGATCGTGGGGTAAGGCCGGGCTGGGAGTGCTGATCCTGGGGTAAGACCCGGTTAGGCAGAGCCCAGCTCGCGCTCCTGCCGCCGAGTCCAGCGGCATTCTCCGCCTCCCTCAGAACCACGGATTTTGAGTTTCCTGTTTCTAGCTGTTTGCACGTCATGATTACTCGGAGCGAAGCACCACTCCCTCCCCGTGACTGACAGCCGGCACATCTTTTGGGAGCATTTTAGAAGTTCGGGGTTTCAGCGCCACACCAGATCTGCTGAAGCAAAACTTAGACTTCTGACAATATTCCCTGGATTCAAATGCATGTTGAAGTTTGAGGAAGAGTGACGTAAAACACCATTGGCAGTATCAGGCGTTTCCAATAAAACCATAAAAAATGCCTGACTATCTTTATTCAGGATCATCCATGTAAAGATCACTTCCAATGTTGGGCTTCCTGTTTTGTAAATAACCTCCATTTGGGGATTTTGGAGGTTGTTTGTTTTCTCTTCCCAAACTGCTCAATACAGAGGAACTGAGGGACACAATCAATAAACCCATGTTCAGTGAATGCCTAAAAGGGATTGCAGACTTCTTATTGGAGCTCATTATCTTTTATTCGTTTTCCAAGTTCCAATGAGAAGTCTGCAAACTTTTATTATTCACTATATTGACAAGAATTTCTTGGAAAAAAAAAAAAGTTCTCTTATTGTCAGCAATTTTAATGGTTTGTGGCCCTGTCGCCTACTTCCTTTTGACAGCTCTTTCAAATAGAATAAGTGAGAAGTTAAGATCCTGAAATTTTTTATTATACAGTGCCACCGCTAGATAGATGCTCAACTTTTCATCTTTTCTTTAAATCTGCCAAGATCTGGTGTGGAGGTTTTGGATTTGGGATGAGAACTGACTTCAAATCCTAGCTTCCTTGAAGATAGGTTAAATTGATCTGACTTTCTTCAATTTTAAAATGCGGGTATTAGTACTTCTGGATTTTTTCCCTTCTTTCTTTCAAAAATCATGAGTTCTGGCTGGAGTGTAGCTCAGTAGAATACTTGGCTAGCATGCTGGAGGCCTGAGTTCAGTCCCTAGCACTGCAAGAAAGATCTTTATTCTTGCTGAGTAGTTTTCCATCAAATGAATGGTCCACAAATCATTTATACATTCTATTGCTAGAAGTTTTGCTTGTTTCCAAGTTGAGTACTGTTGCCATAACATTGTTTTCGACTTTTGATGGACATATATTTTCTTTTTTTTTTTTAAGAGAGAGTGAGAGAGAGAATTTTTTTAATATTTATTTTTTAGTTTTCAGTGGACACAACATCTTTATTTTATTATTATGTGGTGCTGAGCATCGAACCCAGTGCCGCGTGCATGAGCCACATCCCCAGCCCCATATATTTTCATTTTCCATGAGTCAATACTTTATAGTGAAATTGCTGAGTCATATGATAGATGTGTGCACTTCTTTGTGAGAGACTTCTGAACAGTTCTCCAAAGTGATTATACCAGTTTACACACTCACCAGAGGGGAGCTTCAATTTTCTTCACATTCTTGCCTGCATTTAGTATCATCAGTCTTTTTGGTTTGAACCATTCTAGTGGATATAAAGTAGCATCTCATGGTTTTAATTTGCATTTCTCAGATGACTAATAACATTGAGCTCCTTTTCATATGCTTTTTGGCAATTCAAACATTTTCTTTTACAAATATCCTCTAGTTTTCTTGCATAATTACATGTACTTTACTTGTTGAGCGTCTCTGATCTGAAATTCTCAGTTTGGAATTGTCTAATATCTGAAACTTTTCCATTTTAGTTGATTTTGAATGTTTGAATTAGGCATGCTCAACATGTGGTATTTTTTTTTTCTTTTTTTAAACAAAAGGTAAATTTATTGAAAGTGAAAGTGAAAGTAACATTCAAGTAAACTAGAGCTGAATGTGCCCAACTTCAGCGAATGGCTCAAGGCTAACTTGGTGGGCTGGGGATGTGGCTCAAGCGTTAGCGCGCTTGCCTGGCATGTGTGCGGCCCGGGTTCGATCCTCAGCCCCACATACCAACAAAGATGTTGTGTCCCCCGAGAACTAAAAAAAATAAATATTAAAAAAAAATTCTCTCTCACTCTCTTTAAAAAAAAAAAAAAGGCTAAGTTGGTGTCTTTTGATAAACAGAAAAATTAATTTTAATGAAGTCTAGTTTATCACTTTTTTATATAACATTTTTGGGGTTTTGGTACTGGGCATTGAACCCAGGGGTGTTTTGCCTCTGAGCTACAGTCCTTTTTTATTTTTTTTTTATTTTGGGATAGGATCTCATTAAGTTGTTGAGGCTGCCCTTTGAAGGTGTGATCCTCCTGCTTCAGCCTCCTGAGTTGCTGGGATTATATGTGTACACCACTGTGTCTGGCTTCACTAATATTTTGTAATAAAAAAAGTTTGTAGAGAGTTTTTTCTTAAGTTTTTTTTTTTTTAATTGCTATTATTAGAGATGTGGTTACACTGTGTTGCCCAGGCTGCCCTTGAATTCCAGGCCCAAGTGATCCTCTTGCCTTAGCTTCCCAAGTAGCTGAGACTATAGACTGGTGCGCCACTATGTCTGGCCTACTTTTTAGAAGTTTTATAGTTTTACCTTTTGTGTTTTGATCTATGGATGATGAATTCATTTTTTTTATTTGCAGTGAGTTGGATAGGGGTGTTTATTTTCTTCTAAATGAATATATCTTCTGTAGAATGGAATGGTGTTATATCACGATTAGTCAAGAAGACCATTATTTCTCTCATTGAAATAATTTAGTATCTTTATCAGAAATTAATTTACTATACTATTTGTACCAAGGATTAAACACTGAGCCACATCCTCAGCCCTTTTTATTTTTTATTTTGAGACAGGGCCTCACTAAGTTTTTTAGGGTTGCTGAGGCTGGCATCAAACTTGCAATCCTTCTGTCTCAGCCTCCTGAGCTGATGGGATTATAGGTGTGTGCCACCATGCCTGACTACCTTTTTACTTTTAACTTGTCTTTATATATACATATATTTTTTTWAAATTTTTTCAACTGTTTTTCAAAACAGCTGGGTGTTTTTTTCAAATCCATTTTGACAATCTCTGCATTTTAATTAGAATTCCCTGAACATTTATTGCTAGTGTAAATATTGATATGATTGAGTATATTCTTATTCCTAATCTTTTTAAAAATTAATTAATTTATTTTAATTAGGTATATATGACAGCAGAATGCATTTTGACTCATTTGTACACAACTACAGCACATTTTTTCCCTTCTCTGGGTGTACACGATGTAGCGTTGCACCATGTGTGCAGTCATACGTGTACCTAGGGTAATGATGTCCATCACATTCCATCTTTCCTGCCCCCTCCTCTTTGCCCTGTCAAAGATCTTCCATTTTTCCCATGTCCCCCCATTATGGATCAGTATCCTCTTATAAGAGAGAACATTTGGCCTTTGGTTTTTTGGGATTGGCTTACTTTGCTTACCGTAATATTCTCCAATTCTATCCATTTACCTGAAAATGTCATAATTTTATTCTCTTTTAATGCTGAGTAATATTCCACTGTGAATATACACCATAGTTTCTTTATCCATTCATCTATTGAAAGGCATCTAGATTGCTTCCACAGTTTAGCTATTGTGAATTGAGCTGCTATTTACATTAATGTGGCTGCTTTACTATAGTATGTTGATTTTAAGTCCTTTGGGTATAGATCAAGGAGTGGGATAGGTGCATCAAATGGTGGTTTTGTTACAAGTTTTCTAAGGAATCTCCATACTGCTTTCCAAATAGGCTGCACCAATTTGTAATCCCACAAGTAATTTATGAGTGAACCTTTTCCCCCACATCCTCACCAACACTTATTGTTGCTTGTATTCTTGATAACTGCCATTCTGACTGGAGTGAGATCAAATCTTGGAGTAGTTTTGATTTGCATTTCTCTAATTACTAGAGGTGTTGAACATTTTTTCATATATTTGTTGATTGAATGTATATCTTCTTTTGAGAAGTATCTGTTTAGCTCCTTAGCACATTTATTGATTAGTTTGTTTGTTTGTTTGTTTGTTTTGGTGTTAAGTTTTTTGAGTTCTTTATCCTGGAGATTAGTGCTCTAACTGATGTGCAAGTGGCAAAGATTTGCTCCCTAAATGTAGGCTCTCTCTTTACCTTATTGATTGTTTCTTTTGCTGAGAAGAAGCTTTTTAGTTTGAGTCCATCCCATTTATTAATTCTTGATTTTATTTCTTGTGCTTTAGGAGTCTTGTTAAGGAAGTTGGGGCCTAAGCTGACGTGATGAAGATTTGGGCCTACTTTTTCCTCTATTAGACACAGGGTCTCTGGACTAATTCCTAGGTCCTTAATCCACTTTGAGTTGAGTTTTGTGCATTGTGAGAGATAGGGGTTTATTTTCATTTTGCTGCATATGGATTTCTTAGAGGTAAATAAGAACTCCCATACAACTTATCAAAATCTCTGAGACACTATGAAGGCAGTGCTAAGACAAAAGTTTATTGCTTTAAGCTCATTCATTGAAAAAGGAAAAAGTCAACAAATAAATGACCTGACATTACATCTCAAAGCTCTGGAAAAAAGAAGAACATACCAACCCCCAAAGTAGTAGAAGATAGAAAATAATTAAAATCAGGGCAGAAATCAATGAAATTGAAACAAAAGATACAATTCAAATAATTGACAAAACAAAAAGCTGGTTCTTTGAAAAAATAAATAAAATTGACAAACACTTAGCCACCCTGATGAAAAGAAGGAGGGAGAAAACTCAAATTACTAAAATTTGTGATAAAAAAAGGAAATATCATGACAGACACTGTTGAAATACAGAAGACAATTAGAAACTATTTTGAAAATCTATTCGCCAGTAAAATAGAAAATCTCAAAGACACCGGCAAGTTTCTGGAGGCATATGATCAACCAAAACTGAGTCAAGAGAACATACACAATTTAAACAGATCAATTTCTAGCAAGGAAATAGAAGACACCATCAAAAGCCTACCAACCAAGAAAAGCCCAGGACCAGAGGGATTCACCGCTCAGTTCTACCAGACCTTATTCCTAATCTTAAAAGAACAAATGCCTCTACCATTTCATCATTAAGTATGGTGAAATAGATTTTTGGTAGATCCTATTGGTAGATTGCATATTTTTCTATTCATTGCTTACTAGGGGTTTGATCAAGACCAGATATTGTATTTTTCTCTAACAATTTTTTGTATATATTGAGATAATAATCCCACCTTTTAATCTTTACATCTATGTAATTACATTAATAAAATCCAGGTTAAAACATTTTGGCATTCTTGGGATAAACTTTGACCATTTTTTTTTCTAGTTATAGTTGGGCATTTATTTATTTTTATGTAGTGCTGCGGATCCAACCCAGTGCCTCTACTGCTGAGCCACAACTCCAGCTCCCATTCATTTTTAACCTATAGATATTTATTGAGTTCCTACTCTGGTGCCCAAACTCAAATGCAAAGTGCTAGGGATATAGCTATAAACAGTAGCAACAGCAAAAACAAAAATATTGGTTTTCATCAAGTTTACAGTTTAATAATGGCTGTTGGAGAGAGGTGGGCAGAAAGTTACAAATTAAATAAAATATAGACTATTATTGCGTAGGGAAAATACTTGGAAAAAATACAGTAGAAAAAGAGCTAAGAAGAAAAAAAATTTACACCTTTTATTTCAAATGAGAAAGTAACATTTGAGTAATGAACTGAAAGGGCTGAGGCATGGAACTATGAGATACCTGGTGGGAGACTGTTGAAAGGTGCCCAGTTCAGAGAGATGTGGGTGGAGTGGGAAGGCATCTAAAGAAGGGTCTTACTTTAATGGGCAGGCAAATGTTTCACAACCTACTTGACAGGAAAACAAAACAAGAAAGTAAACAAAGACTTGAATTGCAGCATTTGTTGATTCCTGTGGTGTAAATGCTTTCACCAGGATTGACCTTCAGCCTACCAAAGTAAGGTCATCTGATTTGCAGAATTCCAGGAATTCTAACTACCTGGACTCCAGGGCTTGTAGGAGCTGAGTCTATCTTATCACTGGGTCTTACAGAACACAGAAAGGACTTGTACTCTTAGTGAAGTTATTGGATCATTTTAAACAAAGTRTGACAACTGAAAGTATCTAAGAGAACAATAATAATGCCTCAAATATAAAGGAATTTTGTGGACAATGTCACAAAATTAGAATCTCTGATTACAGTATTTTCTTAAAGAAACACTCTGCAACCTGCAAAATTGGGAAATATGGTTTTATTTATTTATTGGCATTGGGAATTGAACCCAGGGACATTTTATTTTTAAAGTAAGAGTGAGAGAGAGTGAGAAAGAGGGAGAGAGAGAACTTTAATATTTATTTTTCAGTATTTGGCGGACACAGCATCTTTGTCTGTATGTGGTGCTGAGGATCAAACCCGGGCCGCACGCATGCCAGGCAAGAGCRCTACCACTTGAGCCACATCCCCAGCCCAACATTTTAAACCTGAACTACATCCCCAGTCCTTTTTTTTCTTTTTTTTAAGTTGAGACAGGTCTTGCTAAGTTGCTGAGACCGATCATGAACTTGAATCCTCCTGCCTTAGCCTGGGTCAAGGATTAGATGTGCCCCTATGCTCAGCTGGGAAGTATGTTACTACCATTTTATACTCAGGTCCCCATTTATGTTTTGCCAGTTTTCCACGAAATATCACTAATAGCAAAGGAATCCAGGTCAGAATGATGTATTGCATTTTCTTGGCATGATTCAGTCTGTTTCAGAGAGTTACTCATTATCCTTGACTTTCATATCTTGACACTTTTGATAATTATAGCACACTTGTTTTGTAGAATATCCCTCCATTTGAGTTTATCTATTTTCTCAAGGTTAGATTCTGGTTATGCATCTTTGGCAGGTGTATTCCAGAGTGATTTCTGTGTTCTTATCAAAATCAGATGGCGCATGATTCTGATTTGTTCTATTATTGGTTATGCCAACTTGGAGCACCTATGCAAGGTGGTGTGTGCCAGGTGTCTCCCTCTAAGGTTACTTTTTTCCTTTTGTAATCAGAAAGTATTAATTGGATAGATACAAGACTATGTTAATACTCTGTTCCTCATCAGATTTTAATTTTACTCATTTATTTACATCAATAAGAATAAATATACCTGTTTTCTTCAGTGGGTTGCTTCTTTGCTTGAATTACAGCAGATGTGACTATAAGGGAGTCCCTTCAGGATAGTTTCTATGTCTTTTTGACATGTCCCTCCCTATCATTCTTTGATTTTTTTCTTACTTTGTTGTACTGCAAATAGTTTTAGCCTCATCTCATTCTTTTCCTCCTCCAGGACTGTAGTCATTTTTCAAAGACATGCTCTTTCTTTTTAAAGTGGAAAATTACCTTTACAGACCAATATCTGAGTTCTAAGTATGCTCATTACTATTGGGGTGTCATTTCCCCCAGTGTGTGTGTGTGTGTGTGTGTGYGCGCGCGCACACACACACGCACGTGTCTGCATGTGATTTATATGTAATGTTTATGTATGGATATACATATATAAATTTATGTTTATATTATTCTGCATACAACAAAAAACATGGCTTCACACAGATATTTCCAACTCTATTCCACAACTATAGGATCCGTTCTAGTTTTATTTCTTTTTCTCTTTGTATCTCTAATTTCCCACATTAAGCATACTTGCCCTTATTATCTCATGGTATTTATTTCCCTGGCAGGTCCCCCTGTGTAACTAGTCTTCTCCTGGCATTCTTTGCTGCTTTCCCTTTCCCCATTCATTGTAAATACCTCTTGGGCCCTCTTTTAGACTGAATACTGTGTCCTCCCAAAATCACAAAATTCATATGTTAAAGCACTAATTATTCAAAGTGATGGTGTTCGGGGTGGGGTTTGTGAAGTAATTAGGTTTCCAATGAGGTCATGAGGGTGGAGCTCTGTGATAAGATTAATGTCCTTATAAGAAGAGGAAGAGACACCAGAGTTATCTTATCTAGCTCTCTCAGTCCGTGGTACAGTCAGCCCTCCAGATCTGAGTTCAGCACCCTCAGATAAAAAATGATTCATAAAACAATTGCAACTGTACTGACATATAAAGACTTTTTTTTCATCATTGTTACCTCTACAATACAGTAAAACAACTATTTACATAACATTTGCTTTGTATTGGATACTTTATTCTAGAGATGATTTAAAATATATGGGAGGATATGTGCAGGTCATATGCAGATACTACATCATTTTATATAAGGGAATTAAGCATCAGAGGATTTTTGTATTTGTTGGTGGTTCTGGAATCAATCCCCATGGACTGTATTTCTTTATAACAGCCTGAGCCAAGCAGGCTCTGAAACCCCATGCTGTGCTCCCCTTCCATCTCCAGCCTAGGTATCTTCCTTATCTGTCTTAGGGTTCAACTTCCACACCTAATGTTTCTTCTAGTGTATTCTCTTCTCACCATGCTTGGCTTCTCACATCCATGCCAGACTACTGTGCTTCCCTTATCCTTGCATTGATACCTACCTTGCTCTGTTTCATGTAATTGAATTTTCAGAAAGGGGAAGAAAAGTGGCAAGCCAGAGATGGAGTGGTGATTAGCGAACTTATGCACCCAGTGGTCTCCCTGGAGGCACCTGTAAATGCCAACAACTTCATCCAGTTTGGAAATCACTGAGGTAGCAAAAATGACACAGTGTATCTTTAGAGTGGTGGCTAGCAACTGTGGCCTTTGGGTTATATCTAACCTATATCCTGATTAGGTAAAAGCTGTGAGCTAAGAATAGGCTTTGGATTGTTTTAAGGATTGTTTAAAAAAAATATACAGAATATGTAACAGAGACCATATAGATCCACAAAGCCTAAGATAGTTACTGTTTGACTGTTTATAGACAGTTTTCTGATCCCTGCCTTTGAGAATCATTATTTCTTAAGTATAATTTTTTTAAATTAAACTTTTGACTCAAGAGTTTGAGACTGTCTTACTTGTAAACAAAACAAAACAAACCTCAGATTCTTGATATTCTGTTTTCCCAATGAAGTGCAAGATCCATATACATTGAAAAGGTACTAGCCATTAAGTAACCTTAAGACTTTGTAAGACAAATGAAGAAGCCTAACCAAGATTCACCCCTGAACACATGGTCTGCCCTCTGTTCTTAGGTAACTCTCAAACAGATGGAATGAGACATTAGGTGGATAGCTTGCCTTCTGCATTTAAGAAGAAGCCATGGGAGGTTGAGGATGTAGCTCAGTGGCAGAGGAGGTGCTTAGCATGAGCCAGGCTCTGTGTTCAATCCCCAGGACCAAAAAATAAATAAATTTAAAAGTAACCATGGTTCTCTGCACCTCTGTTACAATGCGGAGCACAGTTCAGCTTTATGGGAGGAGGTCATTTCCGTATATGCCATCATCGCTTTCTTCGTTATTACTTCGGTATTACTTTCTTTGTTATTGCAATTACTTCTGTGTATGTCCTCTCCTCTTCTATGTTTTTCATTCCTGTTGGACAGGGACTGCATTTTATTTTTGTAGCCGATACTGAGTATAGTAATTGGTCTTTATCGTAAATTAAATTAGTCCTCTCATACCTGGGATTCATGTGTTACTTTTTTTTTCCATTCATTCTTAGTATTCTTAAAATTGGACAGAAAGTTTTTGTTTTGTATCTATTGTTTCACTTAATCCTGTTCTCCTTATCAAAATTCTGTAATATCAGTTAAGGTACAAGGTGATTTTAAGGCTGGTCTTCATAAGGATAAGAAATGTGTTTGGAGACTTTGACCTTGCTGTGACAGTGAAGGGTACTCTCTTATCTGATCAGACTCTAGTGTAGCTTGGTTTCCTTTAGGATCTGTTTGCTGCTTTTTTTCTGAGGCAATGGTTTTAGGGTCTCTAGTGAAAAGAAATAGAGAGATGTTTAGCCATTTTTGTTTCTTTTATTGTATGGTTTTCATCAAAGGGAAATAATTTGTTTGAGTTTTATTTTTAATTTTCAGGGAGCCAAAAGAAGGAGGTATGCCCATGGATGTTTCCATAATGCCATCCTTGCTCCAGATGAAAACCCCCACAGGCTGCACAGAGGTTCAGCTCCCAGCAGAGGTCAGGCTTGTACCTTCTTCTTGCCGTGGACTGCAGTATGTCGCTGGAGATGGACTGCACCTTCGGCTGCAGGCACATACAGAATTCAGCACAAGTGAGTCGGTTACCACTTCCGTTCTTCATTTACATTTTTGCTAGAAAACAAAGATATTTATTATTTAAGTTGAACTTTTCCCAGGTGAAGACTCCTTATCAGTGCCTGGAAGGGCTAGGAGAGAGAAGATCTGGGGTGTAAATAGCACTGCTATTTACTAGCTATGTGCAGTTGAACATGTCACTTAAACTTTCTGGGCTTTATTTATTTCTTTTTAGTGTTTTGCTTTATAAAAGTAGACTTTGTTTTTTAGAGCACTGTTAGGTTCACAGCAAAATCAAATGGAAGGTACAGAGTTTTTCCCTAGAATCCTTGTTTTTTTTTTTTTTTTTTCTCCTTTAACTAAAATTTCCTGGCTCACAGTGGGATATGAAAATGTGAAAATGAAATCAGATGGTAATTGTACAAGACCTGGTTGATCTTAAAGCATTGTATGGAAATTCATTCAACATACAGCTTACCTCATACTCTGTGCAATGGGTTGCTCTAAGTGCTGAGGACATGGTAATGAACAAGCTAGGGAAGGTCTCTACTCTCATGGAATTTAAATGATAATGGGAGAGAATAGATACTGAACAAATAATTTATTGCATAGTGAGAAAAACATTATAGGTAAAGTAAAGCAAATAATGGGATGGGGGATGACTTAGCGTTAGCAGAGGGTAGGAAGTCAGGGAAGGCCACTTTGAGTAGGTGATGTTTGACCAGAGAACTGAATGATGAAAATTATCCCATCCATATAGAGACTATTCCAAATTGAGCAGCACGTGAAAAGTTCCTAAAGTTGAATGTGATGCATAATTTGATTTTGATTGTCACTGTGACTGTTACAAACACAGTATTTTGTAACTGTATACAAAATTCAAATTACATTTTGATTCAGTAAGGACGTAGAAAAGTTTTCTTTTTGTAAGTTCTCATTATTTATTGAAAAAATAATTGGTTTATTACATTTCTTAAAGTCTAAGTAGTATGCTTTGGAGGATTAAAATGATGTGAAAAGGGGAAACAGTAGAGTAAGTTTCACTCCTTTTTTGCCTAAGAATAACTTTTGCTAATGTTCTGGCTTAGCAAATAATAAATTTGATGGTAAGAGTTGGTTTTAAGAACAAGGGGCAGTGAAGAAAGATGTCATGGAGCTGAAGTGGCTTAGGATAAACACTGAGAATGACAGTTGAAATAATCATGGAAAGGAAAATGAGGTGGAAAACTAGACTAACAGACACCCTGAGTGTACTTAACACCGGGTCAAGGTAGTACTGGTTTCCAGGAAGAGGCTGTGGGAGTTTATATCTTTGATGTCATCACCTTCTCCATTAGCAACAATAACCATAGCAGAAATTTTGTGTGGAGTCTGTGAGCTGGGGAAAGACAGGCAAGAAAGCCTCAGTGTTGTCTAGGATTGTGGTTTGAGGGATGGAGGAATAGAGACCTGCAGGGAAATAGAATTGAGTTGTTGCCTACCCATATTCTATAACTGTGAACATACAAATAGCAAAACTGAAATTAATTATAGGATGAAATAAATTGACTGCCATATGTTGGTTTGCATACTGTTTGTGTACATTGGTTTCCTATTTCTTTACACTTATAAAACATTTTACTCAGGTATCTGAAAAGAAAAAGTTTCAAAGACCTGTTACATGGTGCATGAAAGGGTAAAGTAGATTCCTGGGCACTTAATTGCTTTAGTGCTTTCCAGATCATAGGTAGGAAATAAATATTTGATGAATGAATAAATAAATATCAGGTATATACTTGATGATATGAACTTGAATCAGATTGTATTGTAGGAAGTGACTTCAAATTTTTAGCATTTGGCTGTTTCAGGGATTGTTAAAAATGCACTTTTCATAAGAACACCCTATTCAGGACAACCACAACAGACATCATGCTGATACACTATTGTGAGCATAATATAGGTAGATTTGTGACCCAGCAATGGAACTGTCTACCTGGAATCTTCGACACCACTGGTGTTGGATTCAGCCCCAGAAGCATTGCTCTCCCAGGATCCCTCTGTATTTGAAAGTTCTGTCTTTTAAACCTGACCCAGTGGCCAGCAGAGGGTAGTGTTTCCTTGAAAATTTGTTTATTGGTCTAGAAAGAACATTTTGTATGTCTTACCTAGGTCTCCTTTTTTTTCACCTTAGTGCTATAGGAATTTGTGTACCCTTATAAATTAAACTAGAGTTCTTAATTGCCAAGGTTTAAATTTTCTAGCATCAGTTTTTTTTTTGTCTTTAAAATATATACAAAGTAACCCAAACCAAATTCAACGTTCTTGCTTCTAATGGCTATGACCTCATTTCTTCAATTATGTTTTTATAGGCAAATATTTTAGTTTTTTTAATGAAAAAAATTTTATTTTCTACAAATGGAATAACAGAAACTAAGGGAGCATGCTGCCTTGTGCTGCTATTTCTCATATTGTGAAAAATACACATTTCCCCCTTTACTTTCAACATTTTCTCACAGCTTTCATCAGAAATTGAATTTTGGTCTTGGAAGATTGGACTCTTCTTTGAAACTATAATGTTTCCAGGGACCTGCCCCAGAAAGGCCAGTTTCAAGACTCATTTTGTTTGTATATCCTGGTAATGTGCCAGCATGGATATAAACCTTGTTAAAACCAGATTAAACATACATTTTAGGAGCTCTGTGTGCGAGCAGTCACACTCATGACAAACTACCAAAGGACAGCAGAGAAAAACTGAGCATAGGGAAGATCTGGTAGTTGGCTAGAGGTGAAGGAAGCAGGCCATCTTTACTCACCCCTGGTGCAGGCATTCATAGAATGAGAGCAGTAACTCATCCGTGTGTTATATGGGTAATCTAGGGCAATGCCTAGCTCTGAAACTCTTGGCAAATCTGTTGTTTTTGAAAACACTTCGCAGTGTTTGCTTCTGGTTGAGTCATCTAGTAATACTAATTAAATGTGTATGTCTGCATAGATCATAAACAGTGTGTATTGATGGTAATTTATTGTGACTAGTAAACCCTTTAAGTATGCTAATATATTTGTTCCAAATCTCTAAGACTCGCTATTTCATTGATTTTCTTTAGAACTGATTTCAATATTTAATCAAAGCTTACAAGCCCAAGAATGTTGCACATTTTATTGCCAGTCCTGTGGTGAAGTCATAATAMGGGACAGGTAAGGAATGCAATTAATACTGATTAATTCTGTGCCTGGGAATATTTTTTTTCTTTTTTCCTTTCGCTATTATAATTTTTGAAGTTAATTACCGAGGGAGCAGTGTATGCTCTTAAAATGAGAGCCAATGTAATGTCACTTTGAATAAAATCAACCACAGACCTTGCCAGCAATCACAGAATAGCAGGCTCTTCTCATGGAGATAAAGGGGAACCACAGGATGCTGGCTGAGGCAGGATGATTGGTCTTGGTAGAGGAGCCGCGACAGGTTCCTGAAGCACCTCTCTTCTGAAGAGATGTGGGATCTATCTCATCTGTTTAGTCCCTCACAGTGATGAGTTAGGGTTTCGATGTGAAGTTTTCTACCTCGCAAAGCTTGTGAAGTAGGACTTTTGATCTGAGCAATGATTTCTTTCTGTGCCTTTCTAAAAATCCATTTCCTATTTCCCCTGCTTATTAAAACAGAGCATACAGAGCACAAATTAACCTTTTCTCAGTGATTAGGTTAATCTTGTAACCCATTCTCCTTGTGATGTGCTGCGATTACCCTACTGAGATGGGAAGGGCTCTTTTGCTTTTTCCTTTGCATTCCCAGGTCGACTTTTAAAATTATTACTGTTATTTTTGTCTTCTGAGGTCCTCCCATCAGTCTTGTTTTTTTCTGTGCACAAATCCTTCCCCCTGAGCTTTCAGCTTCTCATCATTTATGATCTGGAAAGACAGATTAAAACCTATTTATTGTTTAAAAATACTTAAAGAAGAACCTTGGAATTCTTTGATGGGTTTCCTGAGTCAAGTGTCTTGAGACTTATGAGTGAATGGATCCTTCATATCTGAAACCTGCTCCTCTTCCAGTGCTCTGGTCTCAGTCATGTCAGCCTCTACCTGTGTCCTCAAGGTAGGAATCCTGTGGCATTGCATTGGGGTTTTCCTTCTTCCAGTGTAGTCATCAGCTACGGTGGCTACTTCCTTGGGAACCTCAGTCCACTTTCCTCCACCCCTCTGCCTTAGTCAGGGCCACTGTCTCCTCACCTAGTGACACCTGTTGCTAGCTTCTTGTCTGCTAACTCTTCCTTTGCTTTTGCCCTCCTCTGACCCATTTCTGCACTCTTGAGTGATTATTCTAAAATGCAGCTGTCTTCCCTGTTCAGACCCTACCATGGTCCTCTATTTATTTCCAGGATAAATTCCTTAAATCTTCAGCATGCCACATTAGTTCCTTTATGAGTTCACCTGTGTTTACCTCTCGACCTCACTTCAGCCCTCTTTCACCCTCCTTCCCAAAACACACCATTGTGTTTTGCTCAAATTCTGTGCACAGTTCTGGAGATCAGCATGCCATCCCATAGTTTCTTTATGCTTTTCTTCACCCTGGGGCCTTATGGAAGCTACTCCTTCTTCTGAATGTACCCATACCCTGTCACTCCCTGTTTAGCCCCTGCCTGTACTTCAGAATTCAACTGGCAGGGCCTGTACTACGGGGAGTCTTCCTGAACCCTGGTTTGCTTTAGATGTTCATTTAAGGTTTGCCCATTTTTACAGTTAAACTCTAGGCTCTGGGGGCAGGCAGGGAGAGTCTTTTTGATTTTTGTATCCTTTATGCCACTGCTGAGAGTACAGTGTAGGCTAATGGCTAGCAGTACAGACTGAGAAGTTAGAATGAGTTGTATCTGACATTTATTAGCTGTGTGACCTTGGACAAGTTATTTAAACACTCCATGCCTTAAATTTCTTTTTGAGAAAATGTAGATAACAATAGGCCTTACCTCATAGGGTTGTTGAGAGGATCAAATGATCATGTTTATAGCAATGTTTGGCACATTGTTAGCATTTATTATGTTAGCTACTGTGATAATTATTCTTATCATCATCATCATTCCTGGAATCAGGCACGGTACCTGGTGAATAGTGTGCTCTTAATATAGTTTTGCTAGGTTGAATTGAATAAACCTCAGTGTGTTTATTTTGGTCTTCTACTAGCCTTTCTTGCTTGTTTCCTGATTCCTGGCAGCATCCCAGGTAGATGAGAAGGCACAAAGTTACTCCTGTAGGAGAGGTTATAAATGGACTATCCTCAGAATGATTATCTTGAGTGAGAAATGAGATGGCTTCATATCTACTGAGGAGAGAGGAACATATTTGCTCAGATTACCTAAGGGTTGAAGTTGCCACAGAGTGCTTGCTTGGTGACAGGCCCACTTTATCCTGAAAGTCCAAGAGATCCCGGTTTACATTGTTGTTCAGCCACAAATGTTGCCCTCCTCTCAGTCCATTTCAGAATTTGGCTTAATTCTCAGATGAAATTTCTGAAACACTGACTTCTATATCAGGAGTTACAGTTAACTTTAATGAATAAGTTAAATTCAGCATAGCAATGGTTCCTGGTGCCACTTAGGAGCTATGGTTTGTTCATTATTGGCTAATATTTGTGCTTTACTGGAAAAGGAGGAGGATTTTGAAGATTCTCACCTACAGTGCCTGCTTTTCCTATCAGGAACTGTATTTTCTGTTTTGTTCAATCCTGTCTATAATCATGGAGTTGAGAACTAGAAGGACATGGAGGCTAACAATGAAGGATGCACACATTTTCCCTATCCCTGTCTGCTGGGAAGCTGTGAGGGTAGAGGGGGAGCAGGAGAATGGAACTTGGGTTTGAACTCCAACCTTACTACTTAGGAGCTGGGGGGCCTTGTTTGTATCACCTCAGCACCTGCTAAAACCCACTTCCCAAACTTGTCAGGAGAGTTAGGGAGTGTAACATACACTGTAATAGGTATATGGCAAGTTTTTTTCAGTTGGTTTTAGAAACTCCTTCTAGTCTCTTTTCTGACTTGTGCTTATTAGCACACTAGCAAATTCTCTAGTTCAGTGTTTCAAACAGTTTTATTTCAGGACTCTCATTCATATGGTCCATATGCATCAGAGAAATGAATCACCTTTTTGATTTTCTCTCTCTGAGAAGATAAACAGTAGACTTCATTCTCACTTCATTTAAACAAGTCTTACCTGAAAGCCTTTTCATACCACATCTGTGAGCCTGGCCTGCATATGCCTCTTGAGCTGCACAGAGAAATCTTTAGTAAGTGACTTAAGTCTTTTCTTACATCTCACTCTTGGGCAGCATGCCCTGTGACTCTGTACAACGAAAGGCTAGGCTTCTTCCAAGCTCTGCATAGAGATCTTGTGCTGACCATTGGTATCAATCAGGGTGGTCTTCTCACTTTGGCTTGATTACTTGTTTTATGTGAGTGATAAGGACAATTCTTGTAGTCCTTAAATAAAAAACAAGGCCAAAGTTTCTCCAAAAGAGTCTGTATGTGCTATAATCAAAATCATATTATTGTAAATATCTTTCCCAGGAAGGTACTATGGACTATGCTGACTGACTTGTAGTGGGTGCTCCTCTAGTAGGAGTAATGGGTAGAGTGAACATCTACCACCAAGTCTTCTTCTTCTTTTTTTTTTTTTTTTTTGGCAAACATTGGTAACTTTTTATTCAAAGATTGCATATTGAATACAGAAATACAGAGACATCTTTCAGTGGGTTCTTAAGCAATATACAACAAAGCATGTACCAAGCTTTCTTATCTTAGAATTAAGGCACTTTAATTTTCTGGGCAGTCTCTTTGTAAAATGAAGAAATTGGATTAGATAAACTTGACAGAGTCCTATTGGCATGACATTTTCTCATTGATGAACCCCATAAAGTTGTACTTTGGTTTCCTGTGAATCATGATGATTTAGATAGTGCAAGGCTAAAATTGGTTCCTTTTTTTTTAACTTGATATCAAGCAAATTATGGAAATAAGATATAGGGACAATTTAACCAAATAAGATTCATTAATGGCTTTTAACATTTAATGCATGAGCACATGAAATCTGCTAATGAATGACAATTTTTTTATTTATTTAGGGTCATAAGCTCTGAGCTAATTTATTTTAGTTATTTGAAACTAATGCCTTTTTAAAAAAAATACAGTTCTCTAATTTATAAATAAGCCAAGTTTTTCTATAAAATTTGTCTAATTGTATAGTTTTTATTTTTCTCTTGTTAAAACTAAACAGTTCACAATATCAATCAATCAATAATAAAATTACTTTGTGAATAGTCTAAGAAACAATGAAGTGGTCATTGTGTTTGAATTGTTATGGTTTTTAGAAATAAATTCATGTCAGACTTGAATGACATTAGTTAACACAACAGATTTTCAGACCCAGCCCTTTTGATCGTCAGACCATTTTGAAAGAAGTATTCTCCTGAGGTCTCTGGAATAGTACAACCTTTCCACCTGTACCTGCACACTGGGTTTCAGTCCAACATTCATGAGGGCATTGAAACTTTGGGAGACCAGCAGAATGAGTTTTATGGAAGCAGGAGATGATTGATTTTCAAACTGCTTGGTTGTTCCTCTTGGCACACCAACTGTAATTGTAGCCTGAAAATAACTACTTCTGTGAGTGAAGTTACTTTTTTAGTGAATGAAAACAAAGCAATTAAAAAGTGCAGAACTGGGGGTGTAGCTTAGTCACAAAGCATATGCTTAGCACAGAAGCCCCTGGGTTCAATCTCCTGCACTAAAAAAAAAAAAAAAAAAGGCAGAGCCCAAACTGGATTATTGGCAACATTGTATAAACTTTTGGAATAAAATTACTATACTTTTAAAATCTAATCATACTATATAATAATAGTGTTAAAATGTAAAGCTAGTTTTAGAGGATTCATGGCCTACTAGGTGAAGAATGTCACCTGAATTTATATAAATTCCAATAGTCATATTTTGAGTTTTAGATGTTTAATGTTATTTTTTAAAATTTTATATATATTTTTAGTTGTTGATGGACCTTTATTTTATTCACTTATTTGTATGTGGTGCTGAGAATTGAACCCAGATGCTAGACAAGCACTCTACTACTGAGCCACAAACCAGTCTTGATGTTATTCTTAAGACCCTTAATGTTCACTTGGTTTTAATCCATCTATAAAAGCCCTGTTACTACTATTGTTATGATCACTAACTAATGACTGATTTTAAAGGTAAAGGACATTTTATATATAAATATATTATATATATAATATATATATATATAATATATAATATATATATGCTTAAGTATCAAGTAAAACATCATTAATTAGTAGAATTTATTAAAATTGCATAAGTTATTTTCTAAAAGGTTATGGTGACGATGCATTAAAATAACTAGCAAATTTTATTTTATTATGAACATATGTTGTTCATCATAAGCTCTTAAGCTCAGAAAAAAATTAAGAAATCATTTCACTTTTTTTCTTAGCTCCAGATGTTTTTTTACCTAAACTACCTTGAAAAAAAAATGGTATCTATTTTATTTTGAAGGTTCTCTCGGGAAGTAGATCATATCAAAGTACATTTTTCAGGGTTTTGGATAGATATACTTTCAGTAGAGTTGTGATTAAAATACACCTTTTGTTCTTTAAGGTTTTATGTTTTTTTTCAAAACATCAGAAAAATTTCTTTCTGTTATAAAGATTCTTTTATCATTGCAATGACTTGGAAATTAGGCACTTTCTTGCTCCCAGTGTCTTATGTAGATGGTTAAAGGATGCATTATGACTTTTATTCAATGTGATATGGGGTCAAGTTAAGTTTGATATCCCATACTTTCTGTTAATGTGCATTGAGTCTCCCAAATCTCTATAAAAGCATTTTCATTTCTTTGATCACATATGGAATTTTTGAAGGTCTGTTTATTGGCCCTACAAGAAGAATGTCAGGAGACAGAGAAGTTTTTATTATTATTATTATTATTATTATTATTATTATTATTATTATTATTATTTTAGTTGTAGTTGGACACAATACCTTTAATTAATTTATTTATTTTTATGTGGTGCTGAGTATCAAACCCAGGGCCTCACAGTTGCAAAGTGAGCACTCTATCACTGAGCCCCAGTCCCAGCCCCAGAGAGTTTTAATGATGGAGAAGATCCAGGATCCTATTCAAGCCTTTACTCTTAACAGGCAAGTTATTTGCCTTCTTGCTTCTTGGCAAAAATCACACTCTGACCTGTCACTTCCCTTCCCAAAATACTATACTGCTTCCCATGTGTCTATAATACGGAGTTCTACCCATTGGCATGGTATATGGCTCCTCAAATAATCCACCACCATCCCACCTCCCCAGTTTCCTCTATTGCTATTCTGCATTGCTAGCAGAGGGAATATATTCTAAAGGAAAAAGTTTAATTTTGGAGCCAGGAAGACCTGGGTTAAGATCCTGGCATCAGTCATCATCTCTGATTCTGTGAACTTGTGAAGATTATGTAACAATCTGAGCCTCACTGTTTTTCCCTGTAAGGGAATGGTAATTCTTCTGTCACAAAATCGTGAGCATTAAATGTACAGTGCTGTGTGTAAACATTCAGACTAACAAAACTACCACAGGACACATTTTTTCCCAGTTTGCCAACAGGRCAGTATCAAGAAAACTTCTCAGCAAGGGCCATACAGCAGTTCATACAAGTGACAGCTCACATAAAAGAATCTGAGGACTCTTGCCTGCCTACAAGACAGTTTTAGGTACAAATCACATGATCACATCAGGCAAGTGTAGTTGCTGCCCTGGCAGACAAAGTCTGTTATAAGAACTCTTTGGCTAGTTTCTAGGGCTCCACAAGAGAATGCATTCAGGGAAGCTCAAAGCATGGCATTCTTATTAGATCTTCATAGCACTTTCACAAATTCTTACCAGTCCAGATGCAATTTACCAATCAAGGATCATTTTTACCGTAAGCTGTGTTGCCTAGCAATATATTTGATGCCTAGGATCTTACCTGGTTTCCAGGGTAACAGAACTAGGTGGTTAAACCAAAGATCAGATTCTCAAGCAGCAAAGGGAAGAGTTTGTTAACCCTTTCATCCCAGTATGCAGTAGACCCAGCCAGAGGTCTCACACATTATAATTATCAAAATATGCTAGTTCATTCCATCAACAAATATTTAAGGAAATGTTTTGGGCAGTAAGAATATAGTGGTAATGTAAAAAGATGCAGTGTCTGCCTTCATATCTTTTCTTCCATGATGCTGTATATTTCTTCCACTGTCTGTAGAACTTCTATATATCCTTTAAAGTCCAGCTCAGATGTTATTTCTTTTCTAAAGCTCATATAAGTCTACTTTCCTAGCACTTTGTGCAAATTGCCCTGAATTCAAGGATTGGTTTTGGGTGTCCTGAATGCTCTACATCAAATGCGGGTTATGTGTACATGTGAAAATGTATGTTTGAGGAAAGGGGCTAATGCTTTCATCAAATTTTCAAAGTAATCTATACAACCCCTCCCCACCCCCAAGAGTTTGGAGTCCCATTACTCTGTTATAAGCACATTTTGCATGTAGCTTTGTTATTTGCTTATAGGTCTATATTTCCTATTGGAATGTGAGTACCTTAAGAAAAAGGGCTGTATGTATTTGAGTGACTGATTCACAGTAGACTCAAGGAAATGCATGTTGAAAGAATCACTTCTCAATATCCTCCATATGCCCAGCAGYTTGAAGGATGCCAATGGTGCAGCATATCCTAATTTGAAAGGGAAAGTTCTTCCTTACTTTAAACTAAAATCAGCCTTTCTTGCTTTTGCCTCTGTCCTCTAAAGTTATAAGTGAACTGTCTTCCCTCTTTTAAGCTGAATTGTCCTTTTGTGATACTTACAGTTGATTGGGAGACAAAAGAGAAGGTTAACATAAGGGAATTATTAAAAAAAAAAAATATATATATATATATATATACACATACATATATATAAATTTAATTTAAATTGCAAATACATAATCACAGCTCAAATATTTTAACTTGAAACTTCTAAATATACATTAATTTACTAATGTTTTACTAGGGGAAGAAACTGCAGATAACCCCTGAACCAGATGATTAAGATTAATATCATCAATGAAAGTCATGTTGATATAATATACCCTATGATATAATATAATGAGAGGGATACCTCACCTTTGTGGAATTCTTTCTACAAACCTATAATTCTACTGTAATAATAAGACAAGATCAAGCAAATTCACATGGAAAGATATTTTATAGAATGCCTGACAAGACTACTGAAATATATCAAGATCTTGAAAAATAAAGATTGAGAAACTGTCACAGATTAGGTGGAAAAACTGGTGTAATCCAGATTAAAGCCTGTAGTTCTGACATATCTATCATAGTTATATAAAATATTGACATTAGAGAAAGACGGGTACAGTATATATGGGAAGTATCTGTACCATCTTTGTAATTTTTTTATTAATCTAAAATTATTTCAGAAGAAAGTTTATTAGAGTAATAGAAGAAATCACAGAAGAAAGTGTTAGGTGATTTAAAACTTAAGACATATAAACCAAATTAAAAGACAGTAATACTGAAAAGATATTTATAATAAATGATAGACAAAGGGATAATAAAATAGTATAATATATTTTAAAAATCAATAAGAACATACTATTGCTTCAATTGGAAAGTACTCTGATTGCAATTCACAGGAGAAACACAGTGGCCAGTCAATATAAAAACTAGTTCAGTCTCACCAGTAATTTAAGAGTTGTCAATAAAGCAGTATTGAAAATATTTTTACTTGTGCAAAGACAGAAAAGAAATGATTCAAATAAGAAGAGGATAAGTGAAAGGATTATAAATTGGTACAAACTTTCTGAAAAGGAAGTCAACAAATGGGTATTAGGCTTAAAAATACGCATATAATTTATGCTTGTAGTCTTCCACTGATAAGATTTTTTATCCCCAAGGAATAATCAGACATGTACATAAATTTTCTAACAAGAGTATTCATCACAGGGTTATTGATAATAAAGAACTCAAATCTTGCATATCCAACAGCAAGGGAATGATCTATAAAGTTTTGACAAACCTATAGAATAGAATATTATAATCATTATGAATCATAGTATAACTAAATAAAACAAAAGCAAGATACAGTTTGTATGTATTCTCTGATCCCAGACAACATGTGTATATATATATACACAAATGTATCTCTTGAAAGGGTGGTAAAGAAACACACATCATGTTAAAAAGTAGGTACTTATCTTTGGGTAGTGAGAAAAGGATGAATTTTGTTTTCTTTATACCTCTTTGCATTTTCAAAATCATCCTAGAGTGAGTATATATTACTTTTATAATTGGGGGGAAATTGACATTGCAAGCATGTGGCTAATGAGTTTCTTTCATCTTTCATGCTGATTTAATTAAGAAAATGTTAGTTCCATTTTGTGCTGTGAAAAATTGTTTTTCCTCTTTTCACCAGGAAGCTTCTCAGGATTCTCCCACTGCCGAGTGAGAACTGGGGAGCTCTCGTTGGAGAGTGGTGTTGTCATCCTGACCCCTTTGCTAATAAGCCACTTCATCCAAGAGAGAATGACTGTTTTATTGGAGACTCTTTCTTCTTGGTAAATATAAGAAATGATTTGTGGCAGGTAAGACCTGAACCATTCCTAGTTGAGATGTGCTTTTTTCTGTAATCATTTTAAATTGGTAAAATATCTTTTCACAGTCATGCTAACTTAGAGATTTGCTTAGATACCCATTTCCCCAATCTTCTCTTAATTCAAAGCGTGTTAAAGAAACCGTTCTAAAGGCTCAAATCCATTATTTTCAACTGCTTCTGTCCTCTAGCTCTGCTCTATTGATTTAATAAGAGTCTTATGCAAAAACACACACATGGGCTGGAGGAGCTGGAGAAGAGAGCTTCTTCATGCAGATTTAGGAATATTACCATTTTATAAACCAAATGCCTTACTTTCTTGTTTTGGATAACATTTCATAATCTGTGTGCATTTTAATCTCAATAGTCTGATTTAAATTAGAAGTGTACCAGGATATGTACCATACAATTAGATTCAGGGATTTTACTGAGTCTGCCCATAGTCTAGACTTCTGCTGATGTTATAAAAGCAGATTCCATCAAGGAAAAAGAGGAAAATGAAAGAGATGGGGAATGGAAATCAGACTTATGCTGTAGTGTTTAAGTTGGTGCTTAACAGCATGACGTCAGAATGGCCCTTGCTAAATAATTTGCATTAGGAAGAAGACAGTTTCCTCTCATTGCAGAAAATGAGTGGTTTACTTTATTTTAAAAGAAAATCAGTAGCATTGACTTGGCCCTTGTGAGGAATCATTCCCCAATAGCCAGTCAATACAGATATGATTTAAAAAGTAAAGAAAATTATTGGTAGAGAATCTTCATTTCAACACCTGATTACTAGTAAGAACAAACACATTGTATTTTAAATTTCACTGCCTCATTTAATTTTTGTAATCAGAACTGACCTGCTACAGGAAACATATAACACTCAGACAACAACTCTCACATTATAAATTAGTTTATAGAACTATTTTGAAGGAAATTTGTCAAATATCCAGATTAAGTTGTTGTCAGTTATAAGTAATTAAATGCCTCATGTCTCACCACAAAAAGAAATCTCTTTATGTAAATATGGTTTGCTCTAAATTGAAGCACTTTAGCATTCTGTATTTTTAAAAGATAAATGGTAAGAAGCTAATATGAATGTTATACTTACATTTAAGATGATTCTATTAAATTTATGTTTTACTCTAAATATACTTACTTATTTTAAATGTTTTTCATTTTTATGAATAAACTCTACATTTTAAAAATATTTAGAAGGGGTGAATGGAAAAAGAGTGGAGAAAGATTAAATAAGAGAAGGCATGTTTCCCTTTTTAGATACTCTTTATTCTGTGCTGAGATATGTTCTTCACATTTACATTCTCGTCAGTTATATGATGCCACTTACAAGTATTTCTCTTCATTGTAAACAGCTATCTTATAAATTGAAAGAAGATTCTTCATATTTAGACACTACAGGTTTTGTTATCAAGGACAGTATGGGAAATTACTATCATGACAAGCTGCAGTTGACAAGATTGTTTTCAAGTTGGTCTGGATGGAAGTTTCTCTTTAATTGCATATTGTAGCAGTTGAAAGAGTGTGCCTGTGACCAAAATAGTAACATAAATTTAGAGAGACTGCTTAAACAGTGCTCTCAAGGCTCCTCTGGGAACAAGGCTGCTCTGTGCTATTGAAAACCTATTTCTTATATCACCCAGTCTAGCCATCTAGCAAGGGTTTGAAATGTCACATGGTGATACAGCATCCTAATGGTATCTCTTGGGAAACATTTTTTTTTTGGCGAGACAATATCAAGGGTCCTTAGAAATTGAAACAACACAAAGGAAAATAAAAACGAGAATAGGAGGCTAATCCACCTCTCTGAGCAGCACTGCCATCTCTCAGATATATTGATTTAATTAGTCCCCAACAATGTCTTTCTTTGAGGTTTGCTCTGTAGAGTTCCCACACTGTTAGGTTGTTTTATTACTCAACTTGCTTTATTATTTCCTTGAAGCGTAGATCAAGAAAAATGCATTACAAAGCAGAGATTCTCTTTAAACAAAATTAACATGCTAGAAAATCTTAATTAAAAAGATCTGATTTTAAAAACAGCACATAGAGCCCAACATTATTTTGTTCCTTCAGCACCCTCTTGGAGTTTACAGAATCTTATATGTGCCTCCACTGGTGTGGCAGGATGTGCTTCTTATTTTCAAACAATTTCTGCTGAAGATTCCCCTATTCCTGCAGTTTGGTTGTCATCTCTTGTACTATTTTTCCCATGTACCAACATACTATCAGTTTTGTCTATTGGAATAGGAGGACAAAGATGGCATCTCCACCTTTTATAAAATTCATATTATTTAAAACTTTGAAAATATAAGCCAGTATAGCCAGTATATGGTAGCTCACTCACATCTGTAGTCCCAGCCATAAGGGAGGCTGAAGCAAGAGGATCACTTAAGTCCAGGAGTTCAAGAGTTCAAGGCCAGACTGGGCAACATAGTAAGAGGCCATCTCAAAAAAAAAAAAAAAAAAGAAAAGAAAAAAGAAAAAGAAAAAAGAAAAAAAAAGTATAGCTAGACTTATAACTTCATTCTGTTTAATAAAAAAAAAAGAAAAGCAACATTGAACTTTGATTATACTATTACTTATAAGTATAACCAACAACTTTATCTTTTTATTCATTCTTGGGGTACTGAATAATAATTTATTGGTTTTGGTAATTTATTTTATTAAATTCATAAGTGAATCTTTTGTTTTCTTAGAAAAATATGTTGGTGAAGTTTGTAAACATTCGCCAGGATAAAAAGAATAATATTATCACCTTCAATATGCCAATTGTCTTGATTTAAAAAGTGGGGTTTTTTTTGTTTTGCTTAAGTGTTTTTAAAGCAAAATCCAGTATTATGTGGTCTCATCCCTGTTTCTGAATGTATGTCTAAAAATACAGATTTTTTTCATAAATCATACTGTCATTATCACACCTGATATTAATAAATGATAGAATATCAGGCCCTGACAAAATTTCTTAATTGCCTTAAGAGTATCTTTTGTGCTGGGCATGATAGCATATGCCTATAATCCTAGCAGCTCGGGAGGCTGAGGCAGGAGGATCTCAAATTCAAAGCCATACTTGGCAACACCAAGGCGCTGAGCAGCTCAGTGAGACCTTGTCTCTAAATTAAATACAAAATGGGCCTGGGGATGTGGCTCAGTGGTCAAGTACCCCTGAGTTAAATCCCTAATACCCTGTTCTCTGCAAAAACATCTTTTGCTATAGGTTTATTTGAATGAAGATCCATTAATTTGGTTGTTTGAGCTAATTTGCTTGTTATTGATCAGATTTTTTTTTTTGCTTATGTGTGGTACTACATATTAAATATAGAGGCTCTCTACTACTGAGCCACAACCCCAGCCCTTTTTATTTTATTTTGAGATATAGGATCTTGCTAAATTATGAAGGCTGGCCTCAGACTTGCAATTGTCCTGCTTCAGCCTTCCAAATCACTGGGATTATAAGGATTTCAGGCATGCGCCACCACACCCAGTTAGTTATTGATCAGATTTTAAGATTCTGATCACCCATGTCTGATAAGGGTAGAATCTTATTTTAAAAACAAACACACAAAGAATAAAACACTTTGCCTGCTTACTTGAAAGACAATGGGAAATATTATGTGAAAACAATTATAGATGAACTGCATAATAAAGCACCTGACAGTTTTCTGCTTTGAATAGAAAAATTCTTTCTTCACAAACTTTGCTGTACCAATACCTGATATTAGGTTTTAGTAAAACGCTTACATTTTTTGATAAGATTTAATGAATGTGGTCAAATTCCACTTGTACAAAATAACATCCTTTAAAAATTATTTTCAGCACCTCTTTGGAACTGTATAGATAGATCTTATTGTATAAAGCATGAAACTACCAGAAGGTCTGCCTTAATTGAGCATACTGGCTATCAGGACTCTCTTCCTGGAACTGAGCAAACTGGTACCTTCCTTTGTTTCTGTCTGTTCCTTAGAACAGACAGAATTTGTCTGAATGACACTATCCTATCACTCATCTTGGCCAGACTCTGCTTCTGCTATGTGCAATGTGCTGGATGCAAGGTTATCAGTGCCCTGGCCAGGGATGGTACTGTCCCTGGGCCCCACCTGGTGTACCTTGATAAATGTTTGAGCCAGGTGTGAGCTGATTTGCTTGTTTCCTCAGCAGAGACTTTTAGAAAAAGACTGGAGAATCTGTGCAAATCCTGTGGCTAGACCGGGGAAAAATAGGATATGTTTTTGTATTATCGTAGATTTCTTCAGCATATGAAAGGATTCATCTCAGGAATCATTGGTATGGAAAAGAGCTGGGGGGTATTTACGGATTTTCACTATAACATGGATTTGAGGCTGGGTAAAAGAGTGAGTCAGACATATGGATCCCAGTATAAGTTGTACAATTGCTTTCGACTATTTGACTTTTAACTAAAGTAAGAGATATATTTTTACATCAATGTCTGATCATATATACATTCATGCACACACACACACACACACACATACACACACACATGCATGTGTACACTATATAAACACACTAAGTAAAAATTTCTTGAAGTAATACCTACCTGATGTTTGAAGCAGTCATACTTTCTATTCAGTATTTTTAAAGACAAGCTATAACCCATGGAATTAATTCCATGAATTGATTCCCACTAATGACATATGACCTGTAGTTTGGAAAACACCGAGCATAATGCTTAAAAGCATAAGCTTTATTATCTGGATTCAAGCATAAGCTCTCTCAGTTACTAGCAGCTTGTCTATGGAACTAAATTTAAATGTGCATCTTATGCAACTTGTCAGGAAATATTCATTTATACCAAGGAAAATTACTTGTACTCAAATTTATACTGATCCACTAACTTATTCCATTAATTAATACATATATTATTCCATATCAGAGAGTCACTGCCCTTCTCACTTCACCCTACACTGTTCTGCAGTTTTCCAGAAGGGATGACCTTATGTCCAGAGTTGCAGAGTTCTTTTTCCTTGACCATTTCTTCAAGGTGTGTGCCATGTTGCAGTATATCTGGGTGGGAGGGATGTTGTATGGCTTTAACAGAGCTATTACTATGTATTTGAAAAGTTGTATTCTTTGTTTACAAATTTGGTGAATGCAAGCTAATTAATATGTATCCTACATAATGAATTTGAATTTTTGAAGTCTAAGAAGTTTTGAAATCTAAGAATGCTCCAGGAATTTGTCTCAATGACACTATTCATCCTTCTGGTTATAGTGCATATCTTAAATGGAAAAAAAATAGAATTGTATGAACAAGTTAGATAATTTTAACTTCTGAATTATGGGAGGCTATGAGTTATAGGTTACTTACACATAAATTACACTCATTAGGAGTCAAAACAATATGAGTTCAAATTCTGATTCTTCTGTATTCTATACACATGAGTAGGGGCAAGTCATTAACTCTCTCTGCCTTTGTTGCCCACCATCTGCCCATTTCAAATTTTGGCTATTTGGAAATAGTTTTTAGAAATGTAAAGTGCTTCTTGTTCAGATTATTGGCAACATTTGGATTATCAAGAAGTGGCTAGGTTTGAAAAAGCCAATGTGTGCATTCTATCTTAAGGCAGAAAAAGGAAATTATCTCTGTGCATGTGAATTATGCACACAAGCTAAATGCATTCCCAGTATTTAGTAGAGGGCAGAATAAAATGTAAAGTTCAATGTATACTCTGGGGACTATGTTAAAATTATATATTCCTTTTAAGGAAAGCTGAATGACATTTAAATGACATTTTTCTGTTCTACAGGAACCAAAAGCAAATACCAAAGTAATTTGTAAGCGTTGCAAGGTAATGTTGGGAGAGATCATGTCATCAGGTAAGAATTTCATAAACAAGAAGCCAAAATGATTACCTTCTTTTTTAAAAGCCAGAAGGAGATTTTATAAAAAATACATAGAAAAGATACATGGATAATAATATATTTTATAGAATTGGTGCTTTTTAAAATAGAAAACAATTAACATATCATCCAATATGTACAGAAGTTTGTATATTTTATGTGCATATTGTATTGACTTTTAAGCATTGAGAAGTTGGGTCATTTTCAATGTTTCTTATCTTCTTTATATTATAAAGCAATAGTACAAAGTTTGTACTTGGATCTATCTTAAAGAAATTGGATCCCTCTCCTCAGTACAACCTGACAGTTAGAAGAGTTGGAGAAGTTACTTTTCTTGTCTGCCATCTGCCTCAAGGCTGTATTTTGGGGCTGGAGGTGGGAGAGGACATATTGAAATTGAAGAAACCACATTCTGAGTTTTATACTTTGTTCCTTATTCTTTTTTCCCAATGGTGTTAATTATATTTTATGTAAACTCTATGTTATACTACTTTAAATATAATAATGAAAATCCTGATAATTAAAATGCTGTTTAAAGATATGGTTTAAAATGTCTAGAGAGCTACAGCATGCTGTGTTAACTTTGCAGGTGAGGAATAATCACTTTTAATATAATTAGTTAGAAGATATAATGTAAGTGAAGCTATTGTACTTAAAGGAAAGCAGATGGTGGTATATTTTGTTTGTTTAAATCATCAGAGTCTTTTAAGTAATTACTTGTTCAAAGTGAGCAGAAAAGGATGCTATCCTCAAAGTCATTTTTGGAGATGAAAACAAGCCTCACAAGAAACTTCTTAGAAAACTTAAGGTTTCCAATTTAAGGTTTTTTCAATAAGATGAATTGATTTTTAAATTCTTTTCTTTCCTCCCCGAGGAGGTCCAGTTAAAACAACAGTTTAGGAATACAAAGATGTATATCTACAAAGAGGAAGAGAAATGGAGAGGAAATGATAATAATTTAAATAGGACATAGAAGCAAATTATTTAGGAGCATGCTTGGCAGTTCCTCAACTGCAAGGATCATGGAGTGCCCTAGTAGTGGAGGGAGAAAAGGGAAATACTATCACTGAGAAACTTTACAACAATAAGGATGAAGTTTCCAGAAGGGGAAAAGCAGTTAGTGTATAATATATTAGGAATTAGGAAAGCATGGAAATTTTTAAAAGTAGAGCTGAAAGCTAGAAGACAATCAAGCAATGTCTTCCTAATTTGAGGGGGAAAAAGTTCACCTGGAATTCTCTACAAAATCAAATCATCAGTCAGATGTGAAGATTATTTATTTATTATCTTTGTTATTTTATTATTTTATTTTATTTTATTATCTATTTTGGAGATAATAAGGTTTCAAAACAGACTTAAAAGGTATATTTTCCTTGGAAATCTATCATTCCTACGGGGGAAAAAAATGAGGGATTCAACCTAGAAAGGGATGATATGAGTCTGGGGAAATAGGCTATCCAATATAGAGGAACAAAGTAAGAAAGGCCTTGAGATGTATAATTGTACCACAGAAAAACAGCCTGATTGAAGTGAGGAGAGAGAGGGGATTGTAATAAAGACTTTTCCCATCTCCCATCATAAATAAAATTTTCCACATGTAACAAAGTAATATTGATATTATTGAGACAAGCCATTTCATTATATGGGAAGAATTACCTAAAGTTGCTTGGAAAACTAAACAAATGAAAAAAAGAAGCAGTTATTTACTACAATAAAAACACAAGGTACAACAAGAAAGGAAAACTTGCCAGGATATCATTTTTGGTCATAATAATGTAAATACTGGATATTCATTTAACCATACATTATGATGTAATTCATAAGTATATCAGAATATCAGAATATATGAGTGTGTGTATATGGGGTGGTTTAATAAAACTACATCCACATCAACTCAAAATCAATAGAATTCCACTTCCCAAAATGGTGGTGGTAAGAGGATGGACAAATCTGTACCACAAAAAGCAAGCACAAACTGAACAAGTTAAACAAATTATTAAATATCAATATTATGGCACTGGAAAATGAACGAAGTGAAACAACAATTTGAGAAGTGTTTAGTCATGAAAAAATACTACTGCATTGGGAAAGAATGGCAAGTTTGTGATCTTTTTGCCCACAGAGTAGGCCTTGCTGTCTCTTGCCTCCGGAACTTGGGCAGAGAAATCCTACAAATGTATTGTTTACAGGTGTTGAGTTCAATTCAGGGTAGGTGACAGAGAAAGTAGAAATTTAAGGGGGGGGGGTATTTTGAAATCAAGGGTGATAGAAGGGCCAATACAATAACTTCTTCATACAAGTCTGGCTGACTACTGAACTCTGCATACAATAGATGCCAGGAAGTATTTATTGCGTGTATTTTCAATAAGAATTGAAAACTTAGACCTGTGAATTTGCTGTGCCTTTGATTGCATTCCTTAATCCACAAACAACCTGAGCAACAGAAAGCACTTTTTTTTCTGAGACACGTTAGTGGCAGTGGATACTCTAGAGAGCCAGATTAAACAAAATAAAACTTAGCAGTGACATTAGCAGCTACAAACTGTGGGGCAGAGGAAACATATTTCACAGTAAGTTCAAGCCAGTTAATTGACCACTAAACCATTAAAACAACAATCCTCGGAAGAACAAAACAAAATTCAGAGCTGCTACAACATATTACATACATTTTCTCGCTTCTGTCTAAAAATTATGATATATGTAAAGAAATAGGAAAGAATGATTCATACTGAAGGAACAAAAAAGGATTGCATAGACTGAGTAAATACAAATGTTGTTTTTAGCAGAATAATATGTTGAAGTAGCTATATAAATACGGTAAGGAATTAAAAGAGAAAAGTCCTTGAATGAACAAATAACAAATATCAACAAGTTGGAAACTTCAAAGAAAAAGCAAATTGGTAATTTTAAAATTGAAATGTGTAATAACTGAAACTACAATTCAGTAGATGATCTAAACCACAGATTTGAGACAACAGAAGATAAAAAATTATTGAACTTGTAGATTAATACTCATTAACCAGTCCAAAGGAAAAATTCTGAATAGAACCTTAGATCTGAGGGACAATATCAAGTGTTACAACAAGTGTATAAGTGGACTCTCAGGAGGTAAGGAGAAAAAGAAAGGGTCAGAAAAATAATTACAGAAAAAAATGGCTTATATCTTGGCAAATCTGGTGAAAAATATTAACTCTGGGATCTAAGAATTTCGGTGAACCCCAAGCAGCGAAATTTCTGATAATTAATGAGGAAGAGAGAATCTTGAAAGTTTGACAGGAGCAAAACAAAACATCATAAATAGGGATTTTATGATACAATTAAGGTGGACGTCTAAGGCAGCCTCAACAATGGCAAGGTGCTAAGCAACTCAGTGAGACTCTGTCCCTAATACAATATTTTTTTTAAAAAAAGATCTGGCATGTGGCTCAGGGGCCAAGTGCCCTGAGTTCAATCCCTGGTACCCTTCCCATCAAAAGAAGACTGTCAACCAACCATACTGTATCCAGCAAAAGTGTCTTTAAAAAATAAAGATGTGCCTGGATAAAACATGTGTAATAATGTGTTACAAACAGACCTGCTCTAAAAAAAAAAAAAAAAAAAATCTTAAAGGAAATTCTTCAGGCTGAAGCAAAAGGTACCAGATGGTAACTAGAATACTCAAGAAGGAAAAAAGAGCAGGGGAAGTGGAAAATATAAGGATAAATTATCACAAAAGCAGATTCAAAAGAGGTACACACAAAATTCAAGTCACATTTTTCTGCAGTTTGCCTGTTTTCTATAATTAGAACTTTTGTTTTGATTGCTTTGAGAAGGAAGGACAGAAATGAAAGACTACACAAGATGGGAAATTTAATGGGTGATTGTCTCTACAACAACATGAGATTCTAAAGACCATCCCCTCACAGTGAAGTGAGTTAGAAGGGGAACAGTCCTGTAGAATTATAAATAGGTATCAATTCCTGGGGTTTTAGGGAATTTCAAATCTTGAATTCAGTGTGTTCTGACAGAATAGCAGGTACCTGGCAAAATCAAATGCATATCACCTCTGGAGGGAACACTTTCATTGGAAAAATAGTGTTATTCTCACACATAATTTTTTCAAGTACACTGTTCAACATATAACCAGAGATAAATATGGACACAAGTTAGCTAGACTTCTATCAGTAAGAACTAACAAATATATCAGACAATGGAAACAAGCTTTTACTGGAATGATCATAAGTAAAATATAAAAGAATACTGCGTAGTATATTTAACAATGTAAAAGACATATTTAAAGATAGCACAATGAAAACGCAAACAATAACAGTATGTATCTTTGAAGAGGAGCCACAATGGAATTTCTAAAAACATGCTGTATTATAATTGATATTAAAAATTCAGAGACTGGTTTAATAGCAAAGCAGGTACAACTTGGAAAGAATTAATGGACAGAAGATGGATGAAAGTCTACCCTCCATACAGAGGAAAAGAGTGAAATACAGGGAATATTTGAACAGTTGAGAATTTTGTAAAAGTAAACAACAATCTACAGATACAAGAGGCACAATGAATTCCAATTCAGCGAGGCCCAAGTAAGAAATGAAAAAAGTCTATACCTAGATACATTCCAGTAATACTGGAGAATGAAAAGCCAAGAGAAAATCTTAAAAGCAACCAAAGAAAAATGACAGATAACCTTCAAACAAGCACCAGTAATGGAAATTCGAAGACAGTGGAATGATATTGTCAATGTGCACAAAGCAATAACCGTTAACCCTAGGACTTTATATCAAGTGAAAGTATCCTTCAACAAAGAAGGCAAAGATAAATATGTTTTCTGAAAGACAAAAACTGGGATAATTTACCACTAGTGGCTTCTTGGTAAGAAAAATTCTACCTGTAGGCAGGGAGAAGAAAATGACCCCAGATAAATTTAAGAAAGATTGGTAAGAAAGTAGTTAGTATTTGGATGACATGAAATGAATATTAACTGTATAGAACAACAACAATAGTAACTGTGGGATTTAGATATATAATAATAAGTAAAGCATTTTAAATTTTTTTGCCCTTTTGTTATATTGAGTAATTGGAACTTCTTAAAAAAATTACTAGGAATAATTTGACTTATTAAAGTTGCTAATTATTTAATTTGGCCTATTTAAAACATGCATGTAATTCTGTTGCCAAATATACAATTATTTAATTCATCCTTAACTTTTAGACAAATTAAAACAAATTTTAATTTGTTTTCAGCATTTTTCTACTAATATTATTATGTTCATCTTTATAGATAAATTTTTACATATTTTATTGATATTTCTTTACCACTGAGCTACATCCCCAGATTTTTTTATTATTTATTTATTTATTTATTTATTTTGAGACAAGGTTGTGCTAAGTGGTTAAGGATCTTGCTAAATTCCTGAGGCTGCCCTTGAACTTGTGATCCTCCAGCCTCCCCATTGCTGAGATTACAGGTGTTTGCCATCACACCCAGCTAAAATAATTCTTAAGTATTTAATTATGGTGTCAAATATATATACACAAAAGTTTAGGCCTTTTGCTTCTAAGAAATCTATCATCTTTAGTTATGATAGCATATCCATTTCTTATAAGCCCATCTGGTACTACACCTTATCATTTAAAATAGTTTGATGCTAAAAAAATACTTGTTTTGATTTGGATGTCCCTAGTTGATAAAACATTTTTAATGGATTTTTCTAAAGCAACCCAAAATGGTTATTGAATATCTGGCCTACTGTTTACATAAACTAAGTAATCAGATAAACAGCTTTGGTGAGAACTGTACATGGATAGTCAGTGACATTCTGAGTAAATACTGCTATCAGGATTATATATAGCATCTGTGCATGGGCTTTTGGATTCTACAACTGAAAAGTCTTTTTCACTACCTTTCAGATTTGTGGCTATTCAGTAGAAATGAGGAAATCCAATGCCTAATTTTTATGTAAATGGGCTAAAACTGTGATGTGACTAATTTTTATAACCTTTTGTATGTGTGAACTGTTTTGCTGCTACAGATTCACATTTGAGCATGACATTCTAAACAGACACTGTGCTGTTTGATCTCAGAAATATCTTCTTGTAGTCATCAGTGCTTTTTCTATTGATACAAAATCATTTTGGAAAAATGTTTACTGAATGGTCATAATTGAATATTTAGTTTGTAATGTCATAATTTGGGACCAACACACCCACAATAAAAATATTAATATATTGGGAAGATTCTTAACTTTCTTTTTTTTTGTTTCTAGAAACCACTAAGTTTTATATGACAGAGATAATTATTCAACCATCTGAGAGAAGTTTTCCTATCATACCAAGGTACAAACAGCAAATTAAATTTATTATGTAATTTTGTAAGTACAATTGATTAAGAATTCATTTTTATTCATAATTTTCTTTATTTGGAAAGGGGAAATGCCTTAGAGAAAAGTTTTGAAATACTTGAGCCCAACTACACATATAAAAAATTTGAGGTTTTATTTCTTTATGTTTTGCTTATATGGTATATGTAAATATGTTCATATAAATTTCTAATTCTGAAAGTTTTTTGTGCTTCTTTCTATGTTCCAGAGATTCAGAATTTTATAACATAATCATCAATCTTTTTCTTGTTTTTTTTTTTTTTTGATTTTTGTTTATTTTAGGTACTGGACATTGAACTTAGGGGTACTTTATCACAGAATGAAATCTCCAACCTTTTTCATTTTTTTTATTTATATGTGACAGTGGAATGCATTACAATTCTTATTACACATATAGAGCACTATTTTTCATACAAAGTACACAAAGTATATTCATACCAACTCGTGTCTTCATACCTGTACTTTGGATAATAATGATCATCACATTCCACCATCATTAATAACCCTATGGTCTCTCCCTTCCCCTCCAACCCCTCTGCCTTATCTAGAGTTCCTCTATTCCTCCCATGCTCCCCTTCCCTATCCCACTATGAATCAGCCTCCTTATATCACAGAAAACATTCGGCATTTGGTTTTTTGGGATTGCCTAACTTCACTTAGCATTATCTTCTCTTGACTCTATCCATTTACCTGCAAATCCTTTTAATTTATTTTTTTTTATTTTTTAATATTTTATTTTTTTAGTTATACAAAATATCTTTATTTATTTATTTATTTTTTTATGTGGTGCTGAGGATCGAACCCAGGGCCTTGCGTGTGCTAGGTGAATGTTCTACCGCTGAGCCACAACACCAGCCCTCCTTTTTATTTTTTATTATGAGACAGGGTCTCACTAAGTTGCTTAGAGCCTTGCTAAATTGCTGAGGTTGGCTTTGAACTTACAATACTCCTGTCTCAGCCCCAAATTGCTGAGATTACAAGCCTGTGCTACCATCCCGGCATCAATGGGTTTTTGAAAAATTATTTCTGGTTTTCATTTGACCTATTTGAAATTTGAAACATAGATCCGTTTCAAATTATTTCTGTGTTTCAAAATAAAAGATCTTCAGCCTCTAAATCTATTAATTGTTCTTTTCTTTTAATCTTTTCTGGTTTGCAAACAAAAGTTAACCACAGACAGTCTTTAGTATATCTATGATATCCAAAAATTATGGCAACCTGAACATAAACTTGTATTTTATCATTCTATAAATATTTTCTGAACCATAGAGCTGTCACTTTAAGGAGATCTAAATGAAAAAAGAAAATGCAGATTATACAATGTTTGGAAGAAAATTTCTCACATTCTTTTGTAACCTAGCTATCCACTATTTAATGTGTATATCATCAATGGAATATCTACTATCACTAACATGGTATTTTTTTTATTCAATAGAGAGGAATTGGTAATTTTGGGTGGCAACTGTATTACTAATTGGAGAATAGATTTTAAGAAGAATGGAGCAAACATAAATACACTAAAATCCACATTACCATAGATTGTGAGGGAAGGGGCAGTGGATAGAAAAGTCGGGGATGCTGATGTTTCTGCCTTTTAGGTACCCTATATGTAATTTTGGCTTAATCTTACTAGAGTTATTATGAGAGTCACTGTTCTTTGGATAATAATTGATTTCTGTTCAAACAGGTCTCAGTTTGTTCAGAGTGTTATTGCCCAGTGTCTGGTGGAACTCTCCTCTGCTAGAAGCACTTTTAGATTCACTATTCAAGATCAGGATAGTAAAGTGTACATCTTGGTAAGAAATCATTCTGTCCAGTTATTTTGTAGCCTAGTAATCCAAGATCTCAGAAAATTTCTCTTTTGTTTTTATTTTTTCTTAGTTCATAGGTCTAGAAGTTAAGTGATCAAGAATTGAATATCAGCTTAATTCATAAGTCAACCTTCCTTAACTTTATGACAAATGATTGGGTACTTCCATGTATTAGGTTCTAGGGATACAGAAGGAAAGAAAACCTAATTCCTGCCCGTAAGTCGCTCAGACACAAAATAAGGGTTTTCACTCTGTTTTTAATGGTCAGTATAACACCATTCTGTCTGTATTTCTTTTTCTTTCTATTTGATACTTTTTTTCCCTTACTGGGCTATTTGATACTCTTAATTTTAAAATATGTTTTATTGCTTCTGTTATTTTTTAATTACTTCTGACATCTTGATGTTTGAGAAAGTGGCAAGTTTGGGAGAAAAGGCTCTGTGGTTAGGACTCATCCCTTACGTATACCACAAGGGTCTAATATTACACTACTTCTATTAAAAATAATGCTTTGCAGAAATGAATCTGGGGCATTTATCTGAAAACCAAAGCATCATGGACCAAGTCTCCTCTGTCTGTACATCTGTTTTATTCAACCAGTTAATATACATGAAACACTTCTTATTTGAAAGGCACTGTTCTAGGTGCTTAAGGTAGAACAAGAATACCTTGGCCTGGGGTAGAGTTATGTATGGTTTTGCTGCTGGCCATCCAATTTTGGGAACTCTATGCTTCTCTATTTCCAAAGAACTTCTGTGGCAGGCTAATATATTTTCCAACTTCAGTTGATATTAAATCATAAATACATAAATAACAATGTAATAGTAACTTCATAGTCAAAGTCTGAACACAGGTTTAGTTTTCTTTTCTTGTAAGATTTTTAAGTTGAACATCAGGAGTAGGAACTTTTAAAATTTTTCTAATAGATATTTAAATTTTTTAAAATTTCCTTTTTATGGAAATAATACATTCTTGAAACACATTCAGACAACATGAAGAACATAAAGAAATGTTAGCTTCCCCATTTGTCCCCTCTTCTCCCCATAACATAGTGCTTTCTAGAGGTAATTTATCTTAATAGTCTGATGTGTGAACGTTAATATTTTTCTATCCATATACAACTTTGTTTATGAAAGTGAAACAGTATGACATGATCAGAATTTTTTTGTAACATGCTTTCTTCTCATAACAATAGATCATTAAGGATTATTTTTTGTTAGTGTAAGTGTAGGTCTTACTCTTTAATGACTGAGTTCCATTGTACAATTATAAAAGACATGCTACAAAAAATCTTTGCACATGCATTTTAGTGCTTCTTTAGAAATGAATCTTTCTACTCTAATACAGCATTGGATTTGTATGATATAAACTCAGATGGTAATCACCTTGTAAAACATTGCACTATTATTGTTCTTTTACAATGGATGTTCTTGGTGCCCCACACAGATCTGGTTGACTGGGTTGCTACACCCATTCCCAGCTGCTGACAGTGTTGGATGCCAATAGTTCATAGATGTTCCCTTTTCCAGAAACTTGCCTTGGATAATGATGTTGACTTCCTGAGGAGGTTTCCTTTTCTTACTGCCCCATACCCATTCCTGCCCTGGTCAGCCTGTCAGTGATTTGAATCTGGGCCACAAAAAGCTGAGGCCTTGGCCTCAAGGTGGGGCCAATTTTGTAGGTATAATTCAAGCTCAGGATCTCCCCATGGGATCAGGCTGAAGCCCAACTCCTGCTGAGCTTGCATTATGCATCCTTGCAGGTCTTTCCCTCATATTTTCCTGTTCTCCTGAAAGTATCTCAGTGAATCATATATCTCTGCATCCCCAAACACTCCTCCATTAGCACATAGGGAATACTCATTCCAAACCCATTCTGAGATGGATGTTACCAATCTCTTCACAATATTTTTTTTTTATCTAATCTCATGGGTAAAAAATAGTGGCATTGAAATTTTGCATTTCCTTATTATTAGTGCTATTGACGTTTTAATTTTCATTTATTACATTCCTTATTAATTTGGTTACTATTCTTTGCCTATTTTTATATTGGGCTATTTTTGCCCCTTACTGATTTCCAGAAGCTACATATCTATAGATTATAGATAATTACATTGTTATTTATATATTGAATATTTTCTCCTCATTAGTTGTCTTTTTTTAACTTTATGATGTTGTTTGCACTATTAAATGTCATGCTTTGAAAAGCCTACCTTATTTTGAAATTATGTGCATGGTTCCCCTCTATTTTTTTTAAATAGTTTTTTTTTTTTAATAGTTGCTTAAAATACAAATAGGGTGGCAATATCCTCATACGTAGATTTTTCTCTTCACACCTTTAGCTCTGGCTTTTAAACTCAGACAGTGTGGTGATTGAATCTTTGAGTTCCGACCATATCAAAAAGTTCCCCCTTTTGGAAGATACATTAAAAGCAGGCTTCAGTTCTGCCTGGAATGCTGTCAAGGTCCTCTACCAGCCATGCCTCAGAAGTGGAGATGAAAAGTGAGTTTTGCTTTTGTTTCCCACTCCACACTGTTTAGCTTCTGTTGTCATGTTGGTGTTAAAAAATTAATGAATTTAATGGTACTATACTGCTTCCCTTCTTGAAATTTCTAGGAATCATGCTGCTAAATATGCTTTTAAAGTAGATTGAGTTATTACAGATGATTCATGCTAACATGCAGAAATCTTGCTTTTACTGAAAGTAATTGGTCTTTTCTTGTAATCTCAGCTGTCTGTATATAGACTACAGTACTAGATTAGACTTCAACAATCATGAATACTTACTGGTAAGCTCTTTCCAGTCATTCAGGATACAATAATAGACACAGTCCTTGCCTCAGGGGTTGTCATTCAAACTGGAGGAAGCAAATAATAAACAAAATCATCATCAACAAAAAAGTCAAAGGCTTATATGGTTTTTTTGTGTGTGTCCATTACTCATCTAAACTCACCTGAGCTTACAGTTCTCTTAAGGGTAGACACAGCCCTGGGAGTAGGACTGTTATTCCCCCTTATAAAGATAAGGATACTAAGAAGTGGGTGGTATGTTATTCTAGTAAAAAAATAAATTAAGATAAGGAAGCAGTGAAGTGTTAGATGGGTATAGGCCATTGTCATTTTATATTGAAAAGTCAGGGACAGTTCCTCAGGAAAAAAAAAATGATATTTAAGTGGAAAATCTGAAGGATGTGAAATGGTGAGCCATGGCAGAGGGTAGAGTGTTCCTAGTGAAGGTGTTACAGAGTGAGGGCCTTCCAAGAAACTGAGGCAACTCGAAGACCCTCTCATCAAACCCTGATTACTCATCAAACCCTGATTCTTGTAATCAAGTCAGCAAGATTTCAGACATGTTGCTTAGAGTAATAGGAATAAGTTTATTGAAGGCATAGGAAAAGGGAAAGGGGACACTCTCAAGGGAGAAAATGGGTCCTCTAAGAGAGGAGAGGGACCACATGCTTCTCCTGTACTCCAATTTTATTGGGGATCCCAGAGAAGTTTCCAGAGAGTCCCACCCAGGACGACATTTTGACTTTTGACTAACAGCAACAGGACATCAGACTTTCAAGTACCCATTGCTATGGCAACTCTAGGTCACCTTGGGCCATACTGACTGGTTCTAACTGGATTCTTAACCAGGAGGAACTATCCTGTCTCCTAGAGTTTCAGGATCTGATCACAAAAGTCTGGGTTCCTCCCATCAATATCATCTTGGGTCTGCATATTTCCTGCAGTTAACAGGTAGTTTGCTGAGGAATGTGACATATCCTGTCCACTTAAGCCTGACTGAACTGCAGGTAAATTACTTCTTGGAAAAGAAAGCATGTGGGATAAGCACTGTGGGCCAGTTTTATAGAATTATTCTCTTAACCTTGTGTTCCCACCATCCTTATCTGTCTGTTCCTTAACAAAGGAAACAGCAAGTATTAAAATACTGGATGGATTGAAAGTTTATACTTGTTCTGTATTCTCAGATGGGTTTATCAAATTTCTGCTAGGAACAGAAAGATCCCAGTTTTTTTCTGGGGAATAAATAAGACATTTAAAACAATTACTGCTTTTCTTTCACCTTTTTTTTTTAATTAAGCAAGCAGTGCAAATTATAAGAGATTCAAATACTCAGAGACATGTAAACTAAAATGTGAAGTTCTTCATCATATCCCTCTCCAGATGAAAACTGTTGTGCAATCTTCCACATTGCTTACTATTCATTTTGCATCTTAACAAAATCTAAATAATACATGTATTTTTTAAAAGAGCAAAACACTTTCTCTTGGAGATTCTTTACATATCAGGGCTTGACATTTTATGAAATGGGTATACTATAAATCACTTGACCATTTTACTATTGATTACTTTTTGCTGTCATAATTAGTGTTGGACTATGTACTGTTGTATATTTGTTTTATGATTATATGCAGGTTTTTTATAAGAGGGTTTTATAGAGGTTCAATTGTTGTTGGGTCAAAAGGTGTGCACATTTAAATTTTTTACAGATAATCTCAAGTTGTTTTGTAAAATGACAATGCAAATTTACAATCCCTCCTAATGTTTTCTTAAATGTCCATTTCCATACCCTCTTATCATTTAGGTTTTTCCCTATCTGATGCCAATCTTAATGAAACAGGTTTAATCTACTCTCTTTATGGTATTGAGGTACACTCAGAGAATATGATTTGTGTTCTATGCTTTTGAGACTTTTTGGGTGGCCTTAAGACGTGGTTAACTTTTAAACTGTTTATTAATTATATTCTCTGTTGCTGTGTGTGTGTGTGTGTGTGTGTGTGTGCGCGCGCGCTGTAATGTACATTTATATAGTCAATTTTATTAGATCCTTTATATTCATCTTTACTACTTATTTGAAATGTAGACTTTTGAGAAAGGTATGTTAAATTTCACACTGATTATGGAAGTCATTTTCTTCCGATTTTTATATGTTTTTATATTTTTTCTTTTGAAGTTAACTTATTAGATTTAAAGGTTTGAAATGTACAGTTTAACTGATTGCATATTTTGTCAATAGGAAATTTTATTCCTTTTCTATTCAATGCAAAGTTCTTTCATTTAATTTGCTTTATGTTAATACTGCTATATTTAATTTTAAAGAGATTATTGACTTGTTATAATTTTTTGCATTTCTTTATTTTTACCTGTTTTATGTCATTTTATCTTAGGTACATGTCTCATTATTATATGTTTTGTGAACTGCATGTAGCTGGACATTTTTAAACTCCAATGTGATTGCCTCTTTATCTTAATAGTGAATTTAATTATTTCACAATTATTATGATTATTGAGATAGTTGCACATGGTATGTTATCGGGGCCATTTCCTTCCTCTGATGATTTGGAAATAAAAAGTAATCCCAAAATTATTTTTAATGGTTAATTTTAAAATTTTAATATACTTTACTATTTATATTTAGATTTAATATCCCTACTTTTCATTAGAACAAGAAGGACKTAAAGTTTCACATTTCTCCTCTGGCTTACTCCCCTCCCTACTCCCTTCTCTATGTCAACATCACCTGTGATTCTAATGAAGGGGACTGCATTTCTTCCTTCCTCTTTTCTAAGCCAAAGTCCTGTACCATATTTTTATAAAAGTATGTAATGTTATTTTATGTATTTTAACATGATTTATAAATGATACTAAACTCCCATCTTTCTGCAATTTGTTTTTTCATTCAATATTTTTTGTTTCATTTTTTAATTTGATCAAGTATATTCTTCAATACATCTTTTAAACTTGAATTATAGTTAGTCTTTGAATATCTGAAAATTTCTTATACTTATTCTGACTTTGATGGTCTTCAGGATTTTCTCTGTATCTTTGATTTTCCTTTCTTTCTTTCTTATTTTTTTTCTTTCTCTCTCGGGTACTAGGGATTGAACTCAGGGGCACTGGACCACTGAGCCACATCCGCAGCCCTATTTTGTATTTTATTTAGAGACAGGGTCTCACTGAGTTGCTTAGTCTGTCCTGCTCACCATAAATATTTTTTAAAGAATTCAAAACATACAATTTGTGTTTATATAGTGGTACCTGATGTTCTACTTATTCTCATATTTGATAATTATAATTCGCTGTTGATGACTATGAGTTCTTGGTAGCATAGCCTGTGCTTATGGATTAGTGAAAGATAACTCAAAGGATTTGCTGGTCTGGACTTGTCTAGACTTGTCTTTTTTCAACTTTTGGAATTAAGAAAAAGGAGGTAGTCACAGATTCAGTTATGGTGATAAATCTTGTATTAATTATATGTAGGATCTTTATACTTCCTTTTTTAAGGAGTATTAAAGGAACTTGGTGTACTTGGACCATATTTACTCATTCCGAACCAATTCCTATGATGCTAGAAATAGAGTGACATTAGTCAGTTGTGTTCTGTATTCCATTAGGAGACTTTTTTTTTTTCAACTCCATGTGTCTTGGAAACAGTTAGTGTCTAATGAATGAGTTTACCTATTTATAAAATTACTTTTGTTGTGCTTTTCCTCCTGCTACTTTTTGGTTCTGTGTGCCCCAAGGTAGGAATAAAATTTTTCCAGATGGATGAACGTGCTGTGAGTTATTTACTTTTGTCTTTTAAAGATATTAGTGTCTTCCTTTCTGGGGCATGACTGAGCAAACTTTAGACTCGTGGTATATTTTTGATCCATGGGGTGGTACATTAACTATTTTAGTCCAATTGGCTAGAATTTTTTTCTAGTGAAAGTGTGGATTGCCAGATGGTCGTCTAAATAAGGAAAATAGCAAATGTAACTATGGTTTTATTTCCTTGAGCACTCACAAAAAAGTGGCATATATTATTTTTAGAGTGTTCTTTCTAGCAATCTTGCTCAACATTTTGAAGTACATTGTGTTTTTTTTTTTATCTCTTCCCTTCTTACTTCAGCCAGTGTTTCATATCTTAGTGAAACCAATGGTTTACTGTTTCATGTTTTATATTGGCAAAATAATCTATCTTATATCCCACATTCTTTTGTTTGTATATCAGAATTCAGATTCTATGTATTGACTCTCTAGCTTTGGACTCTAAATTATCTTTTGAAATTTATTTCTGCCATTTTGTCAATTCACCCATGGCCTCAAATTCTAGATAGGGTAATTTTGTCCCTCAGGGAATATTTGGCAATGTCTGGAGACATTTTTGGTTATCATTACTTAGAGGATTGGCATCTAGTAAATAGATAAGATTGCTCTTAATATTATATAACACATAGGAGAACTCCCACAGCAAAGAATTTTCTGGATCAAAATGCTGAAATAGTACCAAAGTTGAGAAACCTTGCTCTGTACTGCGTCTTGAAATCAAGCTGTTTTTGCCTTCTTCTTTGTGTTATAGCCCATAATTTTCTTGAGATATATTTAGACCGGAAAATAAGAGAAATTCTAATATGGCATGAATTAAAATCTCTATACCTCAGATGTTAACTTTATTAGAATAAACAAAATTAATGGTGAAATATTATGTAAATGTTTATCATAACACTTATTTT